GCGAGTTAATAGATGTGACAACGTTGCGTTTAAGCATGTTGGACAAGGTACTTCAATTACGAAAGAGACCATTCAATCTGAAGAATATACAAATAATTGTTTAGAAACAAATCTCGCATTTCTTCGCTGCATACCATATTCTGCTTGGTTTTAGTCAGATCGCAAAAAAAAAAATCTTTTTGCAATGATCAGGCAATTAGGGCTATCAACTGATATTTTGACTCTTAGCGCCAATGAAACTGGTTGGGAAAATTTGTTGATATTATTGTACAAATTGAAAAACGAAGGAGCGGAAATTTCAGATGAGTTTTTATCAGAAATGAGTTATGTGCATAAAGCTCAACTTGTGAATGAAGATGCCGTCACTTGTGCTTTTTATTTTTATAAAATGATAAATTGTCTGTTAAAAGTTTTGTAATCAAAGAAAAGAATAATTTCGACATCGTGGTAGCCCACATGCTCATATTCTTCTTTGGTTGGAAAATGTTCCTGAAGATTTATTAAGCAATGATCCTGAAGTAATTAAAGTAATCAACGAATTAGTTTCTGTATCAGCGTCAGAGGCGTCTGGAAATATAAAACTAGTAACACACAAACACACATTCACGTGTTATAAAAAAATAATCCTAATAAAAAGCAAGAATGTAGATTTGGTGCACCATTTATGCCATAAAAAAAACGACGGGTTACGCTCCGGAGTGCCGGCAGAAGTGAAAACTTGAATATTAACGTTGTGTATTTTTTGATTTTGGAATGGTTAGGAAATAATTTTGCATGAATTGCTTTAATTATCAGTATAAAAGTACTATCATTTATGTGGTAGAATACAATATTTATTTATTGCGCTATCGTACACAAACATGATAATTTATATTACATTAAAAAAAATATCTCTCAGAAAATTCAACATACATGAATCGCATTTAACTGCACCTAGCGACATCTATTGTAAAATAATCAACTTACATGAATCACATTTTGGCGCACATAGCGACATCTATTGTAAAAAAACATACATTTTCTTCGCAATAAAGCTGCCACCTTGACGTCCTAGATAGAGACTTATTATTAGAATACGAAAAAATAAAATATTACTATGTTTCGTCCAATATATTGAAAGACAACAACCTTTCTTTTTTTATTGTTTGCGTCTTACGAATTTTCGATTAGGTCACGTATCCTGACGCGATCAGGCCACGCATCCTGACGCGAGTTTAACATTTTTTAACTATACAAAAAAATTGTACAACGCCGCTAAAGAAGTTTCGAAAATCTATTAATTTGATACCTATGAAAGACACTGATCCTGATTACCCCGATTATCCCGATCAGAAGCACTTTTTAAAGAATATAGGAAACGATTAAAATTTATAAAAAATAATCTCGAAAATTTTGACAACACGAATTTTGAAGAATTTTACTCGCATAATGATATTATTTCTGCTGATCATTACTACAATATAATTTGTTCTGGTATCAATAGACCAAAATTATTCTATAAAAGGACAGCAGCAGAAAAATGGAACAAAACTTTCAATCAATTCGGATTACATCATTTAAAATCGAACATGGATTTTCAGATTATACTAGATGAATATGCTTGTGCAACATATATTATTGAATATGTCAATAAGCATAATAGAGGGATTAGTAATTTGCAAAGACAAATAATTGACAAAATGGACGAGCATCCAGAATTCGACATTGTCGATATCACGAAAAAATGAATATTGACATACTTCAGTCTGTTGAAATGCCGGCACAAGAAGCTGCTTGGTATTTATTAAGAGAGCCTATGGCTAAGTCATCGGTGGTGACAGTCTACATTCCAACGGTATTTCCTACTGAACGCGCAAGAATTAGAAAATCTATGAAGGAACTTGAAGCTTTACATGATGATTGTATGAACGTTTGGAAAGAGAGTTGGTTCGATAAGTATGAGAAAAGGCCTAAAGAACTCTGCGATGTTACATTAGCACAATTTGTTGCAAAATATTAGTACAGATACTGCAAGAATAATATGATACAGGAACTATGATATGGCTGACAATTACAACGATTATAGGTGTGAGATGGTTCTGTTGCATGTTCCTTTTCAAAGTGAAGTTAAAGATATTATTGCTGAAAATAAGTTCATTCAAATATACGAGGACAACAAAGATACGATATTAGAACGTAGGAAAGAAATTGATTCAAATTTGGACATAAAGAAAACTTTAGAAATTTGTAGACAGTTGTTCCGAGAAAACGATGAAGAACAAAAGACGAAGAATTATTAAGAGCGGTTGATATATTGCATGAGAGATCCTTATGACTTATTGCTACGTGATCCAAACTCAACTACTTACGTTGATTTACAAAATGCATCTTTGCATAAACTTGGCGCTATAGCTAAAAAAAGAGAAAATTTAATGGATTATCAACAATTCTACGACTTAATGCGAATGGCCAATGATCAACAAAGAGATATTCTTATGAGTATAATTCATTATTTACAAACTTCAATGCAAGAATCATTTAAATTATTTTTTACGGGACCAGATGGTACGGGATAATCAATCTTTAAACTGATTATTATAATAAGATTATTTTTATAAATTAACAACAGGTTCACTGATAATGATGTTTACTGCAATGCCTATATTACATGTGCTTCTACCGGCAAAGCTGCCGTGGCTATTGATGGTACAACTGCTCATACAGCTCTCAAAATTTCTCTTTCAAAACTTTTGCCTCTGTCATCAGAAACGTTGCAATTGTATAGATCTCTCTTCAGATATGTCAGAGTACTGATTATTGATGAATTTAGCAGAACTTCTACATACAATTGATAATCGTATAACAGAAAAAAAACACAGATTTCGGAAGTATAGATGTTATTTTGATTGGAGATTTACGGCAATTGCCACCAGTAAGATCGACACCAATTTACAAGACAAACAGAAAGAGCATGATTGGACCGATTGAAAATTAAATTTTTATCAACTTAACACAGTAATGAGACAAGCTAATGTTGCATTTTCACAAGTTTTGACAAAAATAGGTAATGGAGATGTACTAGATGAGCATGAGTTTCAACTTATTGAATCGAGCTTCTTCAAAAAAGCGGTAGTTGCTACATTACGTCCTGATGGAGTTCGTTTATTTTTCAAAAATGAAGATGTTGCCGCCCCGTAACAATTTCATTTTGAGTCAATGTGAAAACAAAGTTCTTTCAACGTCCGTAGACGTGGCGCTTGAATTGGCGCTAAAAGTACTGAGCAAGAAGCTAATTTTAGACTTAAATTACATAAAAAACTGTTATTGACACTGGAGGACTGCCTTATCAGATTACTTTTGTTGTTGGAAAGCATTACGTTATTACAACCAACATAGACATTACTGATGGTTTATGCAATGGTGCTGTTGGGAAATTGGTACATCTAGAATTTGATGAAAGTAACACATTGATTATAATTTGGCTGTAATTTTGTAGTTCAGATAAAGTGGGTAGAAAAAAAGGCAAAAAGCAGCCGCTCTGGCAGTGCAAAATAGAGTCGGCAATCTCGCTGTTGCCATTGAATTACGAACAGCAAATATTTCATTAACATCGTATAGAAAATGTATAGCCAAACGCAAATATTTTCCATTAACTTCAGCTCTTGCTCTTACTATGCATAAGTCGCAAGAAGGAACTTTTGACGAAATAGTATATGAGTATAGTAAAGCACATTCTCAGGAACTCGTTTATGTTGCGCTCTCTCGGGTGACTAATATTGAAAAATTGTATATCACGACATAAAACGATAATACTACATTCAAGTTTTATCATAATCGAAGGCAAGCTGCATCGACTGCATCTTTGTTGCAAGAATTCAAAAGGCTGTCTTTAAATGGGATTTAGACGATAGTTCAAAGTGTCTTAGATTTCATTAGTAATAGAAATGACATTTCAATAATGACTTTCAATTGCCAAAGTCTAAATAGTGACAAATGCGATTTACAAGATTCAGTTACGAAACAAACAAATGTGTTACTTCTTTACGAAACGTGCATGACGCATGATAATCCGATTGAAATACCTAATTTCAATTGTATTGTACCATACCTACACCGCAACTAGCTGAGTATGATTTGACAAATAAGATCTAAGCCTTTGAAGAAGACAGCCGTGTATCCCTAGATGTTGTAATTACAAACAGAGTGTGCTATAATCCACTCTATCGAATACCTTCGAGAAATCTGTGTACAGTGAGTTCACTCTATTCGACATTTCTTTGCAGGGTGCGTTAATATCCGGTGTTACTAGTGCGTCTAAGAGACGACGAGAGACAACGAAGTATGTAGAAACCCGCGGCAGATGTTGCTTGTAAAATTTACCAACACCAAAAACGAGATTACACGATGTTTTACATACTACGAGCCATTTTATGAAGTACCTCTACTGCGAACAGCTGCTGAGATTAAAGCGTTGAGAGAAAGCGGCCGGAATTAATCAAAATGGTGTGGTTTTTCATCATCTATCTCACGCAAGACCTTACACATCTTTAGCCACTCAGTAAAAATTAAGAGAGTTTGACTTCGAGGTGTTAATGCATGCGCCACATAGACCTTGCACCTTCGGATTTTTACAAGTTTCGGTCTCTTCAGAATTTTTTATACAGTGTCCGTCAATATCACGAGAGGACTGCCAAAACCATTTGTCGCGGTTTTTGATCAGAAGCCCCAAAATTTTTGATGCGATCATGTCCCTACCTACATGATGGCAAAAAGTTATTGAACAAATTAGCATGAATATACTTAAATGTAAATAAACTTTATTAAAAATGCTTTGAATTTTTATATAAAATGCGAAAAAACTTTTTCTCCAACCTTATAGAAGTAATGTTGTAATTAATTAATTTATTGCAAAATATCAAATCCATGAAAAAACAAAATGTTGTTTATCAATGTTTCAAAAACTAATCGGATTTGAGGGTGTAAAAATATCTGCCTTATTCTCAGTTATTCTTTATACTTACTACTGTGTTGTCGCAAGTTATCTTACACGAGGTATGGAAAAGCGACGACTCCATCTGGTATTGAGCTTTCGTTATGCAATTTGGATAATGTGTAGAGCCTATAACAAATAATAAAATATAACAGTGATTATCAGAAAAATTGATAACGGAAAGGTAGTTATCATTTTAAAATATGCGGTGGTTGGTTATTTCCCCTGAAGGACTCCATATCGACCAAAAATCCATTGCACCCTGACTATGCTACGTCGTATGTTAATTTTGTCTAATGTTGGTCAAACAACAACACTGTTAAGAATACACATAAGGTGATTTATAAAAAAAATGTAAGACAAACATTAAATGAGTGACGTCAACATAGATGTCATTTTTCTTGGCGATGTGTGTATCTATCTTCTATATTATAAAAATCAATTGCTGTTCGTGTGTTTCGCTGAAACTCAAGAACAGCTGATTTTGGTTTTGAACTGTATGTCGTAGTCCTGAGAAGGTTTAAACGGAGAGAATATGGAAAAATTGCAAACGGATTTGAATATTGTAACAAAGAGTTTGAAGATTTCTTGAAGTACACCAAAAGACAAACCCTTACACACCTGAACAAAATGGTCTTAACGAGAGCTCCAATCGGACCATTGTGAAGAGAGCAAGATATCTTCTGTTGGATGCGTCTTGACAAAAAGTTATGGGCTGAAGCAGCTAATACTGCCGTATATTTAAAAAAAAAGGTCAGTAGCTTCAGCTTCTCCGTGCTGACATACAGATAAACAAGAACCACGTTATAGATTTCAAAGTGAAAGTAAAGCTTGACCGCAACCGTTGTACCGCGCCCTAGGTTTGTGTGCGCGGCCCTCAACGGGGATATCGCGGTTTCGCACAGAGGGTATTCGCAGGGTTTTTTAGCAGATAGTACGCCGCAAGCGCTAGTAAGCCGCGCGTACAGTACCCTTAGTACGAGTTCGAGCTCACGAAAACTATCATAGTTTTTGTAAATTATATTTCTATGTCCATTTAGGTGAAAAGTAACAAAATATACTTAAAATTTAAGAAGACGCAAATGATTTAATGGTAGAACTTAAACAGTGTTTTGTATTGAAACGAAAACAATAAAATTAGTACCCCCAGTACGAGTGCGGGCTCACGAAACCTATGGTAGTTTAAACTCGTACAAAGGGTACTGCTTAACGGCTTTTCCGTTCCGCACCCGTGAGACTTGCGAGAGTCTAGGTGTGAGATCCGTTCGTTGGTGTGCCGCTTAAGGGCGCCAACGTCTATAAATAGAGGTTTTGCCTGCGAATAAACCGTACCGCTGTGTCAGTCGGCCGCCAACACTTACGGTGGTAGCTAGTTTATTTTATTAATTTTTATTTATTCCAAGATGCGCCGTGCGTTATCTCTTGATGTGAAGAACATAATTTTTAAGGTGTAGGTAACCCACAATGCATATACACAGTCAGGTCATAAGTATTGTCACACAGTAAAAACTTTTCTTTTAGCATGCTGGCCACAAAAAAGTTTATTGAATTCGAATTTTGAATTGTTCATGAAAATAAAAATGCATACTTTTTAGCTTTAACTTTGTCCTGAAACATAAGAAAGGCAAAGATAATATTGTTCCAGATCTATTATCTAGATCTAAACCTAAAGACTGCAGATTCGCCACCTCAAGGTGTACTTCCAATTTCCACGGAAGTTTCATCCCCTAATCGTGATTTGGATCACTACAATAAAATTTTGCTCGGATGTCAAAATAACCCTGACTCCTACCCGAAGTTTCCGAAGCATTAAGTCTTCATTTAACACCCTTTTCACCGTGGTTCTGCTTAACCCCATCTGAAGAGCCAACAGTTTCTGCTTACATTTGGGATTTCTTTGAATTCGCGCCTTCACAGCTTTTATCACTGCTGGAGTCCTAACAGACCGGGGGCGACCACTTCTTGACCTGTCATCTACACTAGAGTCTTCATTGTATCGTTTGATGGTACGATTAATGAATTTTTGGTTATATTCGCTTATTGGCTCGTAAAGACGTGAAAACGAAATGAAGAAAAACAGGGCATCGTTTGAATGCTCGTCTAATGGACCTGAGACTGAAGAGATGCCGCGCTTTGTTGAAGCGGTACGCGGGAAAAAAATATCGGGAAATTCTTTTTTCGGATGAAAAAGGTTTTACCGTAGAAGAGAGCTACAACAAACGAAATGATAAGGTATACACAGACAGTAGTGAAGAAGTGAGCAACCGTATTCCGCGTGTCTAACGAGGTCATTTTCCATCCTCGCTCATGGTATGGTTGCGAGTTTCTTATTGGGGCTTAACAGAGGTACATTTTTGTGAGAAAAGTGTAAAAACGAATGCAGTTGTGTATCAAGATACAGTCCTGATGAACCTTGTGGAACCTGTTCCTCACACCATGTTCAATAACAGGCACTGGGTATTCCAACAAGATTCGGCGCCAGCTCAGATAGCGAAGAGCACACAAGACAGGCTTTCGGCGCGTGAAATCGTCTTCATCCGGCACGAAGACTGGTCGGTCCTCCTCCAGTCCAGATTTGAGTCCGTTAGATTACAAGATATGGCAACACTTGGAGGAAAAGGCGTACTCAAAGCCTCATCCCAATTTGGAGTCACTCAAGACATCCTTGATTAAGGCAGCCGCCGATATTGACATGGACCTCGTTAGTGCTGCGATAGACGACTGGCCGCGCAGATTGAAGGCCTGTATTCAAAATCACGGAGGTCATTTTGAATAAACTTTATTGTCATAAGAATCTATGTTTTGTTAAGTTCATTTTGGTATATAAATGGTTACATAATGAATAAACTTGTTTCAATTATTTTATATTAAACATGTGACAGAATTTATGACCTGACTAGGTAGATGGCGCTGGTTTGCAGCTTAAGAAAGGCTAGAGAAAATTAGGCACGGCCGAAAAGCCTGCGGTAGCATAATGCTCAGTGCATTCGCCCGGATAGCGAAGGGTGCGGGTTCGATTCCCGTCGGCTGACTGGACCGCGTGGAACTTTTTCTAGTAAAATTTTCTTTAACTTTATTTTAGTTAAGAAGTTGTCATGAGAGAAATAATGTCTTTATTTTTTGTTGTCTGTTGCGTCTAGAATGGTCACTTAACTGTGTAGCTGTTTGGACATTAAATGCGTTTAGAATCAATTTAGTTTCAATTCATCATTGTCTGCTATTCCAAACAACAATAAAATGTTCATGCAAGCCAAAATAGATTTTTTATATACATGAAACACAACTTCATTCAAAAGACCTCACGCCAAAGTGGCCCCAACTGGTCAGGTTCATTTTCATAAACACCCACCCACATATTGAAAGGACCTAAAAAAGTATATTCCTTCCCTTAAAGGCCAGCAATGCTATAATGACTTCTGGCTTATTCAGGGCCGGATTTAAGGCAGGGCTGTGGCCCAGGAGCCACCCACAAGAGGAGTACCCACAACAGAGATAAAAAACAAAATTGCGACGGGCCAGGATACTAGGGGGTCTGAAAATCGAAATAGGTCTCCACTTCTTCGTTGCCTCAGGCCCGCACACCTGTCAATTTGGCTCTGGGCTTATTATACTAACCATCTGGAAGTTCGATGTGGTGAAGTCGTATGTAAACACAATTGTGTTCAGTGATCGTCGAGCCTAATTTTATTTTTCCGACAAAAGATAGGTTTGACGGGAATCCCTCGCCGTTGACGTTTTTTGGTTGGCACGACGCGGCGGCGTCTGCGCCCCACCCCTCACATATTTCCATGAGTCTCCACGGTTCGTCGAGATCGCATGATGCCTGTAACAGATTTTTATAACTACCCACAAATCAAAATACATTAACAAGCTTCCTTGCTTATCACTCCTTACGATTAACCAAATATAGATTATTGAGAGCAGCAATGATAATATCTTCAGGGCCGGATTTGAGGCAGGGCAGGCAGGGCTGTGGCACAGAGGCTCCACATGAGATAAATACAAATTTCGTCAGGTAGTCTAGCTTTTTTTGCCCCAGGGCCCCTTAGGCCTCCGGCTTGAATTATATTATTACATTATTTTTGCGCATTATACTTTAATTTATATAATAATCTCAACACAACACACACACATATTTACAAACGCACACAGAAGGCAAACATTTAACCTTCTGATTGCCGCCATTACTAATGTCATTAATTAATGCCGTAAAAACCGATTAATTACTTTATATTTATATTTGTTTCTTAGGTTTTCACACACACCACTCACTCATAAAATAAAACAATTTTTAACGGTATAGATGCACTGATTTATTTATTTATTGCGTTTCGCATTCTTTTCAGGCTGGGTAGTCAGAATTATGATTTTATTTACTTTGTACCTACTACCTTCGAAAGACCTTTATTGAGCGTTCGGATATTTCATTGGAATATTTACTTTATATTTCTTGCGTATAATTGTACGACGCCAATCATTTATTACGCTACTAATTCACAATGAGAACACAAAACAACCTATTAAACATCCTTGTATTAAACTTCCCCAATAAATTTTCAACCTTAACACATTAGATGTGTAGGTCAAAATCGATTACATAAAATTAATATTGTGTAGTCAGCTGATGCGTTGGTATATGTACCATTATGTGATTAAATCAACATACAAGTATTAGTAAAGCTGATAAGTAGGTATTTATTTCTGTTATTGTAGATATTGATCGATAATAATCGGCCGTAAACTTATTATCAGTGCATAAACGAAGCCTCAGAACAACTTCGAGATAAATGGGTCAAATTTAATGTATTAGGTTCTAAATAATTATATGCTAGATAAAATTACGTTAACATTTGACATGCTATTGAAATGAGAAAGGAATTTAGAAATATTACATATTGAAGGAACAATGCCACGAAATCTCAATCCACCTTATTATAAAACGTGGACTAAAGTTAAACCTGGACTTAAATCGATGCTGTCACTTTTGATTTCTAAAAGGAAGACAGAGACTACATTAGGTTTAAACCAAGACAACTTTACTCTGCGTTTTTTAATAAGGCAGAATAGGCTGACATAATTTAAAGCATCAAGTATTCATATATACTCACAGAGCAGTCATCCAGTTGAGATGTGTTTTTTAATTCCAGCAATTTGCTTGTATCATTTGAACATAACCTGTGACTCAAGATGTTGTTTAAGCAAGTCATATTTGCTTTACGATCTTTTAAGATGCTGAATAGTTTCTCGTTGGTGCAATTGAGCTTGCAGGGTTCATTCACATCAACATATCCTTCACCGATGCGACAATGAGGTATGTAGCTATAACCTAAAAAAGTATATTTTAATTTAGCATAAGTACTGATTATAGGACTTTACGCTTGACTAACTTAACAATGGAAAGCCGGAACTACTAAAGCTAAAACTACGACATTTGATCAAAGAATTTCTTATATGTTATGGCAAATAGCATTTAGTTACTCTTAGTTAGTCTCTCTAGATCTGGAAATACTATTGAGTATTTCCAGACTAACTAGTAATTTTTTGTGTTGGTATCATGATAGTTAGTATTGACTGTATTTGCCTACCTAGCTATAAAAAAACGACGAAAGGGTATGATAAGCTGTTGGTCCCGCGCTCTCGGCTGAATGTGCAGTCATTAGCACGTACCAACTCGGACTAGACCCGCGTATTGGCACCATGGTATATTCTCCCTTCCTATCCATAGGGAAGGCCTGCGCTCCAACAATGTGGATATTAATAAGCTGTTGACGAGAGGGCGTGTCTTCTAGTATAGGATAGTAAGTTGATATGTAACATCCTCTTTATGATAATAAATAAAAACCATATAAGCAGAAAAGAGGTAATGAAAATATTTCAATACTTTAACGGCTTCACCCTCCAACATCAACATGTGAACGGTCGGTATAATCTGTGCCTTATTTCACCAAGTCGACATTTGTCACTGACATAATACGTAAGACGACGGTTTATTGTGGTGGACGGATTATCTTTGAATGCAAAATCAGTGATATCAAAGGAAAAAATTATTCGTTCTTTATATATTTTCGATTATATAATTTATTCAAGGTTTCGCGGGGAGTTATTTTACACAACTTTGAATTCATGTCACGAATTACATTTAAATATTACCCTTATTTCACAACATAATTGTCGCTGAAGTAAGATACGGACAGTTTGAACCAAATATTATATATTTCAATGACATATGACCGTGATGTATATGTCGACTTGCTGAATAGGGACTCTGGCCAATACACCAGGATAAAAAAGGTTGCGAAAACCCGTTAAAATTGCTATTATGCACGTGTAGTGAACTCGTTACAATATTTTATAATTAAAATGCAACACTTCTTTTTTTGGCAGTTCTGTAATAATATTTTATATTATTTTTATTTTTAAAAGAGGTGTGCCGACTTTCAATAATTTTTAAATCTTATTAACTTACCATCTAATGTCACGTTAGAAGAAGAAATGTAGGCACAGCTATCATTTTCGACAGTAATTTTGTTGATTTGTGATATATAATTAATACTTTTAGTATCACTGTAACAATATCGTGGTATATGCCAATGCTCACAAACTGTTTGCCACATTTTTGGAGACATATCACAGTTCATCTGTGTGACACAACAATTGCATTTATTAATTTCTATAAAATTTTACATATATTCCATCAAGTTAGATATTTATCGTAAATACTTACGTGGCAAAAAGCGCTACTGTTGAGACTTCCCAGAGAGTTAATTTTACATTGGTCTATTGACTCGGCGTTTTTATAACAACTTCTCAATTCAGTAACTTGGTGCCCGCAATCTAATTCCACACTTACATTGGATTCATTTTGTGGTATAATATAAATAGCAGAAAAACTTACTATAGTTATGAATTGAAACAATATAAAAATTATCTTTTGCTTCTTAAACCTGAAAATTTAATAATTATCAGTTTAATGACAATCTTAATCCACCAATCCAGTAAAAACAATGCGTCCTAAGGCGCGGGACACAGAAACGGCGTAAGTCACAGACAGGGCACGGACAGTGTCAGTTTCATGCTAAATGAAGAAGCGTCGTGTCCGCACCCTGTCTTATCTATGTTTTGCGAGCTATCAAGCATACTTTTATATGAAAAAGACGAGAAAAACACATTATGCCCGCGCCCTTTTTACGCCTTACGTCTATTCTGTCTGTCCCGCGCCTAAGGTTGAACATTATTATGCTACCAATCAGTGGTGAAAAACACATCATTAAGTTACATAATGCTAAAATGATTAGACATTTATTAGATACTACAACAAATCGACGAAACGGTCTGCGATCGTATAAGTTAAGCAACTGTCACAATTGTCAGTGATAGAACAGGCAACCATAAATTTATGCTTGCTAGCTTTAATGTACTCTGAAAGCCACGCCAACGATATAATACCCTAGATACACCACGTAAGCTCAAAATGTGTCCCTATCAAGAAGTGCTTGAACACCACTCGGGCACTTCTTGGTTCACAGTCACGCGCGGTTCGTAGAAATCTAAACATGCCGCAGAACTCCGCGAAAAAATACAAAAAGAAAATATAATACGTAAAGTGTCGTTTTTTTTACAGGTATCGAATGCATGTTTGCTAATTTAACTTACTATAAACTGATTTAATAAAAAAATGTAATATACTTAAATGCATGATCGGTTATATAGCCTCTCTTTTCCTCGCGGTCCGTACCTGCTATTTTGCTAATAGCGCATTCAGAATTGCGCGTAGAGTCAAAGAAATAAGGTCTATATTCTGCCGTATATAGCAATGAGTCGTAAAATTTTATTTTACGAGATTGCATTTGGAACTGTCATAAAACCTTGGCGCATGCGTTTTAATTAAGATCTTATATACTATGCGTTAAAGGTGACTTTCAATGTTTAAATAATGCCTTATATTGTTTTTGACTAATGTCCAAATGGTGGACAGGTTTTGGCCACGATTTTGTTCGTGTTGATGTATCTAGGTTATTTAATATTGTTGAGCCACGCACGTTAAACCGTTTGGTTCCAGCTGCAACTGCATCTGCTGCTGTCTGTTAGCAAGCACTCACCAATTCACACTAGGCCCCTGTGGTGGGTCATGAATATTTATTATATATAACGCTTTGGATGATCGACAAAATTACACCTGCATAGATTTGAACTTGTAGTGTATTGTAGTATATGTAGTGTATATAATAAATAATTGCATACAAAATTCTATTCATAAACAGAAACAAATGCTACACAGACCAGATTTGTAGAAGCTAATGCTAAACTGTCGTTAAGCAGCGAAATTTCGGTTAATTAGAGAGAGCTCCCGAAAGACGAAAATACCCTCCTAGAGTTAGATATGCCCAGATGTTACATAGAATGCTTAATTGAATTATTCTTAGAAATTGATGAGCTATTATTGAATAAGTCTAATGAGCTTCCATTTCCCCACATAATATTTATCTGAGCATCACCTTATCTTTGTATGGAGTATCTTGAAGGTCTTATAAAATTATAAGAATGGCTGATACAATAACCAATGAGAACTCTTTATCTGCTCAAGCAGACTGGAACTGTATACTAGTATTCCAATTAGTGGTTTTTAAAGAAACTGTTTCTACCAGTTTCTTTAGCAAATCATCATTATAGTACTAGCCTGCTTCAAATATACACTGTACTAACTAAGTAATGTAAAAAATCTCTGAATACTCTTTCTGAAGTGTCAAATAATTTTTATATGATAAAGCTCATAGATATAATAGTTATGTGAATATATATTCTAGAAATAAGTATAATATTTAATGTTGGAAGTTACCTGTCAGCAATCACACCAAACAGAGGTTTTGCAATTAAACCAAATATTGGCAGAACTGTGTATATGAGACCCACAGTCCCTGACGAAAATCCCAATTGTCGAGCATAGGTGCTCAAATATGGAACCAGTGGAGCAGTTCCTAAAAAATATTTAAAATGTAATTAATACAACAAAAAATATTAAGCAACAAGACTAGAGCAAATTGAGAAAAATGCAAAATTCAACAAAGTCACAACATCAATAAAAGAAATGGATAAGTAATGACACAGTCCGATGAAACAAAATTATGTACACAATAGAAATAGCGGGAAAGCAGAAACACAAATTTTGGGACAATTTGGAAGGTTTTAGAGGAGGCCTACTGAAAATCAAGACAATAAAATTAAAAGTTTCCATAACCCTTTCCAACCGACTCATAGTCGAGCGTGCATCTAACTTAAAAATTCTAGCACTCGCCCAAATTTGTTTTGCGGTACGCAACCGACGCTGGTCGGTCGTGCATGATTCTGTCCATGTGATTAAAAATATACGGGCGAGCTAGACCGTGGCAGTGTGGCACAGGACATCACGAAAGATGGCGGCGCATTTCGGTAGGAGAGGAGCTTCACGTAAGTGTAATTTTTTATGTTGTTTTTTATCAAAGTTTGTTATATAGCATAGATTTCATTAGAGTGTGAATTACTCAATATTATTAACTCAGTTTTATAGTTAATATTTGGGAAGTATTTTGTTTATTCGTCATTTAATTTGAAGATGCACGTACGTGCTAGTTAGGTGTTATTTGTACTTTTTTACTTAAACATGACTTGATTTTATTTGTTTGTATTGTGTAATTTAACTGCATTAAATGATGGTTTTAGGTGTCTTCCGTGATGAAGACATCATAGAAGCCTTGGGAAACGGTAATGATTCTGATATCGAGCATTTCAATGACTCTGATGATGAAGAACGGTTTTTTAACCCTGGATTCTTCGAAAATCTAAATGATTTAGATTTGCTAGAAGATCCAGCAGAAGATCAATAAGATAATCAACCACAGACCGTTCTTGAACCCGAACATCCATCTCCCGGGCCGTCATCGGCGACAAGACCCTCATTACCAGCTGTACAGCGTCCTATTCAATCAGGTTCCCGCCCTCAACGTTGGAAAGTAACAACTTTTGAGGATAAGCAACATTTGTACCCCAATCGACCTGTTAAACCGGTAAGAAGACCAATAGAATACTTACAAAATTATTTTGATGATGTTTTTTACGAAACACTCAGTACCTGCTCTAATTTATATTACTTGCGTAAGACTGGCCACGAACTAAAAACAATAAAGCCTGAAATACAGAAGCTAATTGGCATTCATATTCTGATGGGGTACATTCCATTTCCAAGGCTGCCTATGTACTGGCGCAACGGTATACCTCTGGACAAAATAACGAGCAAAATGAGCCGGGATCGGTTCTTACAATTAAGAAATGCCTTGCATGTAGGTAGCACTGCACCGCCAGAGCAAATTACGAACCCACTTTGGAAAGTTCAGCCAATGATAGATCAGGTACGTAATGGCTGCTACAAGCAAGAAAGGCTTCCAGGATACTATTCAGTAGACGAACAAATGATTCCTTTTACCGGTCGTTGCCCATTGCGTCAAGTGGTAAAAAATAAACCTCGTCCTGTTGGACTCAAAAATTATGTTTTGACTACGAATGATGGGCTCATGTTAGATTTCGATATTTATCAAGGAGCTAAAACAAAGTTTGGGAACAATCATCTTGGCCATCAGTAGTGTTACATTTATCCAAAAGCGTACCACCAGGCAGTTGTCTGTATCATGATAGACATTTTACCACGATACCGTTAATTGAGGAATTACAAAGACGCAATCTACATATCACAGGCACCATAATGGCGAATAGAGTACCCGATCGAACCAGTATCAAATTCAAGAAAGATTCCCAAATGTATCGTGGTGAGAGTCAACAGATGATTAGAGATCCTACAGTATTGGTGAAGTGGAAAGACAATAAGTCTGTATTGATAGCATCTAATTGCACTGGATCAAACACTACTGAAATGATTTAACGGTGGGACAAGAAAAATCGTGCCTATGTTGACGTAACGACTCCTACAATAATTCAAAATTACAATCGTTAAATGGGAGGGGTCGACGTCCTAGACCAACAAGTTGAGTATTACAGAACATTCATCAAGACTAGGAAATGGAGACTAAAAGGGTTGATACACTTTTTTGACTTGGCACTAGTAAATGCCTGGCGTGCATACAAAATAGACTGTTCGACTAATAATTACGGACGAAATAAAATAATGGATTTATTAGACTTTCGTTCTGAAATTGCTGATATATATGGACACACCGGAGAAGCGTCGGGAGTCTTCAGAAACACTTGAGCTGGAAGAGCCAAGAAAGTTTAAAAAAACTTTAAAACCGTCAGAAACTGTAAGGCTATGACCATTTGCCCCATTTTGACGATATAAAATCACCAAGATTTTGTCAATTAGAGAATTGTAAAAGTAGGTCAAAAATTCGGTGCATTAGATGCAACGTTTATCTTTGCATGAGTAGGGGTCAAAATTGCTTTAAAGCTTTCCACAACAATTAGGTTGTTTTAATACCCTTTCATTTATTTCATGGAAAGTACTACTTTAAGCAAAGAATGTAGATAATTCGTTACTATGATTCCAAAACATTACGAAAAACAATTAGTTTTAAGAATAATGTGTTCCTATTTACGAAAAAAAATGTAAGCCTGATTATAATATTATTCCAATTATTAAAAATAAATATTTTTCTATATACTTTTGCTTTGAATTGGTTTAAGGTCCTTGAAATAAAATGCCTTCCATCAAGATGCAGGTTCGTGCACATGTTATTCCTGTACTGCACGCAGACGATTTCCCGGAAAACAGGAATTTTCCAATTTTTATTTTTATTTTTCTCAAGTACCTTGACCCCTCTAAATTAAAAATCATACATAGAAACTAAAAATAGACAAAACATTTTTTACCGGTTGTAAAAGGATAAAGGCTTCCAAATTACTATTATTTCTATAAACACTTCAATTTACACCATAAGTATGGCACTATTCAATTGCTTAACTGTTTAAAAATTTACAATATAATAATTCCAAATTAATTTTGAATGACACAAAAAAAATATGTTGTGCTGTCATAACTGGATATAAACACATTAAGTTATATGGTCTCATCATATAACTTCAGACATAATGTCGAATACTTGTTAATAGCAATATACTCAAGCAGTCATATGTATGTATGTTTATAGATAATAATTATTATACAAAGTAGTGTGTATAGAAGTAAAAAAGTTTATAATTTAAAAATATTGTAATTTTAAGTACCTAGAGCATGTTTTGTTTTGCAGGAACCTTAGAATAGGAACAAGTAAAATAATTGGTTGTTATAGGCAATGAATATCGATATGAACTACTTCGATATTCATTGGCTAAAGTTGTTTTAAGCGATATGTTGCTAAATTCAATGTTGTTATAGGCTGTTAGTTTACTGAATGATTTATATAGGATTTCAGCAGGGACCTTGCCAATTAGACATAATAATTGACCTATTGATTTATGTAGTTCTGACTATATACATATTACACGCCATGCCACACCAGTACATTTATTTAAAGTATAGCACTGCCTTGAAATTTTATTCATAGTCATAAATATCCCACACTTTAACTTGAGAATGAACTACTATGAACAATTTATACACGAAAGGATATTTCTGAATTTGCTTATCACATAAGCCTTGCAAAAAAAATCAATGACATTTTATACATAAAAATTGAACAATAAATTAATAAACCATATATTGTCTGTAACATCTAAAATTAAATAAGTTTTAAAAATAATTTAAGGGCCCTTTTACAATATAACGCCGCTGCTATACTGATAGTATATATTGCAGAATGCGGGTGTTTTTTCGAGTCTTATAAAATAATTACTAATGAATTATTTATTAAAATATATACATATTTTAGTAGTTCAATGATGGTAGATTAGTTTAATGAAAGTTTTTGATAATAATTCTATTTAATTCAATAACAAAATATGAGGTAAATGTGCAGAATTTTTTTGGAAAACTCACGGAGGTTAGATGTTTTTTTTGATAATTAATGAGATGGAAAATCAAAATTCTAATAGATTATGTTACAACAAAAACATATTTCTGATGTCATAGTAATTAATTTGATCTAATTTATTGAACATTATTTAGAGATTCAGGCATTTGAAGTTGTGCATATTATCGTTTTTTCCGTATACTAGCTGCGGTAGAAAGATCAGTACAAAAAAAGGAAAATAGTATTTTCAAATATTTTACATTAACTTACAATACGAAAAATTAACAACTTATTTTTAATTCTGTTTACAAGTGTTAATATTATAAGAAAATGAACAATAAGAAACTTACCTGCATTAAAAAAAAAGAAATGTCCTTTAATAGGCAAAAGCTTTTTATTGATCTTCATTTTTATGTTCAACATTTGTCCCTAAAAATAAAATTTGTTGATCAAAAGATTTATTAATTATTTGTGATGAGTTTTTATGTCTCAATACTGGAGCACATTTAATACATTTACAGGTTCTGGTTTCCGTTAAATGTTCTGAACTTGGTACCCGGATATGAATTAAAGGTAAGGGACCTACTTAATGTAAAACTAATTAGTTTATTAATGTTTTTGTAACATATTTATATAAATAACTTTTGATAACTCTCGTACCTGACTAATAATCTTGTTAAATCTATCCGTGAGTAATTTGAAAGAATTCAACAGTGAACAGTTAGGTGGTAATTGGGTTAATCGTGATAACAAAAACTTTATCAGAATTTCATAACCTTAATGTAACAAGTAGTGTATCGCGTTTTAAAAAAATTGTCAGCAACCAACCATATCAAATAAAATTTAGGCACCTACAGAGATAATATGAGCAATGCAAGAACTAAATTAATGTAACTTTACTTTTTTATGTTAACAAACAATGATAAACATATTCATGTTGTTCTATATTGTGTTCTTGTTTTTATCCAACTATGAATACTATGATGTTATGATCCAAGTCACTGACTACTTGATACAAGTGTAGGGACACGAAAAAAGTATCGATACTTTGTGGTATCGAGTACTTTTCCTTTCGATACCGATACTTTTGTACTCAATACTTTTACTTATTGAGTACTTTTTGGCAAGTATCGATACCTTTAAAATTTGGATAAGTGCCTCATATTGATGGCAACGCCATCTTGTTAAATCATAGCAACCTTCCAAAACGTTCCAATGCGTTGTTATAAAGTCAGTAACTGACATATTCAAATTCTTTCCAATCTGTGACTGTGTTTATTTTGCACTTTGTTTTGTTTCATAGTTATTTATTTAGCGACCATATTGTTAGGAATTGTGATCGATTCGCCGTTTATTGTGCTTTTCGCTTGGCTGTATTTGATGTATTCAAGTGTAACACTATTATTCTGTCTGTGCGGACGTTACCTCTTCTATATTTATAATATTGAGTGAAGCATGCCAATGGCCGCCGTTAACTGCGTGTCAGATTCAAGTTAACATTTTAATTATTAATGTAATATTAATGAACACTTTTTATGTGTCAGAAATCACAGCTATTTTCTTTTCATTATATAATATAGCAATTTGTGAATTTACATGTCCTTTTTCTGTTTTTGATTATACCTACTATATTAAAATTCGATTGTTTTTCTTTCAATTTTTAACCCGGGGGGGGGGGGTGGTTGCTCATCAGGCCACAGAGGATCCGATAAGGCCCTATGAAATATACTCGATTCTTTGAAGTATCGATACTTTTGTTTCGATACTTTTACGAGTACGATACTTATTTACCGATACTACTCCTGAGTACAATATCGATACTTTCTATTCGATATCGTGTGAGTGTCCCTATCCAAGTGTTTTTTTTTATGACCTGGTAACAAAGACCTATAAGTCATAACTTATTTGGAAAATCCAAGTGGATAAGCCGTGCGCGCACAGAACCTAGAGTAAATAATATTCTGTGCAGTGCACAGACTAATATGAAAACAAGTCGTGCGCGCGAGAGATACTTTTTTTAAATCTTTTTTTCCCATCTTGGGAAAAACAAAGGCAGAGCCATAGTCTTCATTTTTAAGTTTTTTTGGGAAATAATAGATTAGGGTACGGCCAGAGTGCACTCAGATTCAGATTCAAACTCAGAAAACAAGCGCGCGAAATAAACAGTGTAGTTAAAGCAGGGTGGCCATAGTGGCAGCAGATAATCATAAATAAAGAATCCTATAGATTTGACATACGAATAATAATACCATCAAAGAACGAGATAAATAATACGAGACTTACCTAAGTGCGACTGAGATGTTTATAGAATGTCTTAATCTCCGTTCATGTTTTTTTTGTCTGACATTAACCTTTTGTGGCAAACAATAAGTTGAGTGGATTTTGAGGTCAATGTTTATTTTTGCAAATCGAACTAAATTCAGTGCGTTAAATACAAGTTTTGTGTCTGGTTCTATCTCCCAAACTTTTTTAGTACTTGTTCAATGCAGTGTTATCGGCTGTACAATTTTTTTGCCGAGTTCTGCGAAATACACGACTTTCAAAATGTTTAGAGTAGATTCGGGTGTGCACCGAAGGTTCCCAATTTTGTCGACCAGTAGCTTTTATCCACACTTCCCGCAGTTTGTTATCTTTAGGCACCCTGAGAGAAAAATAATTATTGTATTTGTTTCTTAGGTTTTCACGCACATTACTCATTAAATAAAACAGTTTTTACGGGTTAGATGTACTGAATTTATTTATTTATTGACGTTTCGCATCTTTTGCAGGAATGCGTCGTCAGAATAAAAAAGGTTTTAATGGGTTAGATGTACTGAATTTATTTATTTCAGAATAATTCTGAAATAAATAAATTCAGTACATCTAACCCATTAAAACCTTTTTTTATTTAATTATTGTAATTTTGCCCCCGAGAATGGATAATTTGTTTTGTCCATAAGTGGCCACACTAGAATGCTAAAAACAAAGCTAAAAACCTGGCTAAATAGAGATTACGCAGGAAATGGCTGCAAATGTTGACTATGGATGACATATTAATACGACAAAAAACGTTTTCCACTTTTGTAATTTTAGCATTCTTTGTCGTGTTTTGCATACGAATATGAATATAATTCAGCAAAACTAGCCTTATACATTATTTAAATAAGTATTTACTTCGACATAAAATGGTCATTTTAAACTTACGTGTGAAAGGTTATATTTTCCATTTTTCGTTCACTACTTCTTTTACAGTTTGTCTATAAAGTCGTGACATGAATGTTTGAGGAACTTACATTATTCATGTGTCTGGCAACACCAAACTTATGTACATCAGCTGTCATCGAGTTTCAGGTGTGGAACAGTTTTCCTTTTGTATTTTTTATTGTTTGGATTAAACTGTAATAAATTAAGACGAAACTACGCAGAACAGAAAGGTATAAAAATGAGTAAAGTAAATCGGAGTGGCACGCGGGAAGTGGTTTTTAAAGTTTTCCAGCGATGTTTCGAAGACTACCAAGCTGGACGAAATTTGTGGAATTTTGATGATGTTTATGGTCGAACAGCATCTATGACGGGTATGTAATCGTGTAACTATTTGTTTGTAATCTGCCTGAAGTTACAAATTTACTCAATTTACGATAATGAAACCAAAAAAGGCATTGTTTACATTGCACATTTTTAGGTTAGATTGACATTGTAAATAGGTAATATTGTAGTACGACCATTTCTTTTGATACGTTATTATGGTTCAACTCGGTCAGGTTTTCTACCAATTTTGAATTAATTGCTTCATGTCAAAAAGTTATTGTTTCTATTCCGTTACATATTTTTTTACCTTTTTTCAGGAAAATCAGAGAGTCGAATAGTCAACGAAGGTTTTAAGAATGATGGAAAGTTTGAAACTCCTGGGAAAACAGGCAAGGCCGACCAAAGAAAGAAATAGTTACATAAAGAACCATGGCCAGCTGCTTTTAGTGAAGATACCTATCACTAATTTTACTAACTGCACATTTACAAATTGTTTCTTTATATAAACTTTTTATATACTATAAAATGATTTTTAGTATTATTTTCTTAACAAGTGTATTAAATAACGTCGTATTATGCTACTTGTGTGAATTGATGATTACATAACGGCTCTGGTCTCAATAGCGCCTCAGCGGTAATCACCAACATTACACACTTTTACACTATAAAGTACTATTTTACTTATAATAATTTTATTCTGATTCAATTAAATATGCTTGGCTAAACTTTATATAAGCATAGGTACCTACTATATATAAAACAGAAACAAAATACAACTGTATAGTGTGTCTTATTAATTACCTATTTTACTTGAATGAACTGCTAGTATCAAAATCATTTTGGTCCGACTGTATAGGGTTGCTACATGCATTCTAGTGGCGCCATCATTTAATGTCACGACTTTATAGACAAACTGTAAGAATAGGATCGACTGGGCGCCATTTTGTGATTTGAAACAAAATAGGTAGAGTGAGCAGTAAAAGATTTTCTTCGATAAAACTTAATTACTAAGATTAAGTGAGAAAAAACATCATTTTTTTTTAAAAAAAATCTTATTTTCTAAGATTAAGTGAGAAAAAACACCGAATTTTAATAAGATTTATGACTGTGTGAGTAAAAATATTAATCGGAATCTAGCTCTTCAATTCCGCTCAGCTCTGCATAACTACCGGAGTCGTCATCGTCGTCATGTTTGTTTACATTTGGTTTTTTTATTCTAGAATTAGCTGAGTGCTAAAAAAGAGTTCCAAGATTTTTTGCAAACCGTACTTTTCAAGCGTCATTTGACAGATAGAGGTCATTGGCTGTCCTATTCTTGTTTGAATAGCATTATATTAACAGATAAATAGTACGTATAAACACTGTTAATAAATACTTGTGTAAATAATAATCACGTTATATACCTGTTATAAATAATCTTATCGAGAAGTATGACGAAACGTTGATTGAATATTAAATAAAAAGACAAGGAATACTTTTATTAGATGATTATGTTATTTTGCTTAAATAATTGTTTATGAGCTTTTAACATAGGTATTACGTTTATGATTATCGTTGACAACATAACATCAGGTTCATATATTTAAACACTTTCCAAAGCGCTTTACATACGCATTAAACTAAAAAAACGCTAACACGAAAAGCATTAATTTAAGCATACTTATAAAAAAGCACAACGTTTCAGCGTTGAATTGAATTAAGCCGTTTTTCTCATCGCTAACCATTGACTTTGTATAATACAAGTATAATATAGACGGAGCCAGATGTTTGACAGCCTGAATAACAGATTGATCTGTTTTCCATGCATCTTTGTCTATCCTGCGGGTCAATTATGCTTCAGTAATAAAATTCTAATGTGATGTCAATATGATGTTGATGCCAAGTTGAGATTGTTTTTAGATGGTATTATGAAACATTCCTATGTCACATCAAGATCATATCAATATTATATCCTGTATCACATTTTTGACGTTTAAGCGATACTATTTTAAGTCAAAAAGTTGAACGTAATACGCATTTAAGTTGATATCATTTTATAGAGTTGATCATCATCATAGCATAAGTTGATGTCATTTTGATATCGCATTTTTCGGAGAGCATAATACGTAATGTGAAATAGACATCAAAACAATATCACAAATAGCGAGCATAATTGGCCTGCTGTAGTAGACCTATGAGTGAAAGAGCTGTTGCCGCAGTTGAGTTGCGAGTGTCCGAGTAATATGCTCACAATATTGCGGTGACGTGTGGTATTTACATAAATTGAAAATAATTCAAGTAGTCAGTAAAAAATATATAAAAAGACTATGATAATGCTGTATTCAACTGCTTTCTGTTCATCGAGAATGGTAAAAAAAGAATCAAAATCTCTAAATCGTAGTCATGTCTTAGAAAACAGTTTTGAACATTTAATAGTATTTTTATATCAGTCAGTACCCTTAGCACGAACCAATATCGAATTGGAATAGTTTGCGAATCTGAAATGTCATTGTAAAATTTTGTATGGAAACTTCAATTTCTTCTTTAATGGCTCCTTAAAGATTAAGCCTACTACTGTATGGAATCTGGAACAGCAACGGCATAACGGACTTAACGAGAACTAAAAATCAGTACACATTTGACAGTGACTTTTCGGACTCGCAAATGTTACGAATTCGATATTTTTTATCACCAATATTTTTTATGTGTCGTAATCGTGAAAATTAAGGATCTTTCACGGTTACGACACATAAAAAAAAATGGGTGCGTGTACTTATGTAGGCGCGTGAGAAGTTATCCTTCTTTGGCATCGTTTAAAATTAGTTTTTAATTGCATGCAAATAATTAATTACAATAAATTAATAAAAAGTCTGGAAAAGGACACAGTCAATAAAGTTCAGATTTAATTTGAAAAAATAAATAAATAATCAAAATATTCAATTAAAATCGCTACTGAATATAATTTAATAGAACATTTGTGATTTGCACTTGTATGAAACTCAAACACGTATTCCGAATATACAAACTAGAAACATGTGGATAAATATTATAAATATGAATACCTATAACCGTTACTTTATTACAAAAAATAAAAATGTGGTTTTTGGTTCTACTACACCAATGGTCAAGAGATGGCGCTGTAGTCTCCTGAATCGCGCTTTGGTTCCGTTGTTCCAGATTAATAAATACTTTTGATAGGCCTTCACAGTGCAGTCGTTAGCATCCACAAAATAGAGATTTTGTTGGTAGATTTTCTTAATGTGCGGTAAACACAAAAGGCAGCGTCACTCTCATCATTTTTTCATAACGCGCCTAAAGAAGTATAACTTCAAAAATCTAATTGCTAGCACCGACTCCTTTAATATTTATATTTTTCTTTTGAGTTAACCTAAAAAGTTGAGCAAAATTATGTTTTTAAAATATTTATTGCTATGGTTATTTTTTTTTAATGATATTGTTATTATTTAGAACCAACTATATTAAATACCCTAGATACAACAACAAGAAACAAAATCGTGGCTGAAACGTGTCCAAAACGTACATTAGACGATCCACGGAGCTCCGTAAGATATACATTGAATAGACATTAAAAGTCACTTCAAATGTAATCATTCACGTCATCAATCAAATCATACGGCATTAATTAGACATTGAAAGTCACCTCAAATGCATGCAGACTTAGAACAATTCAAAATACAAACTCGTAAAGTTTTACGACTTATTGTTATATGTAGAAGAATATAGACCTTATTTTATTTACTTACTTTACGCAAAATTCAGAATAGAATAGAAAAGAGACGGCTATACGGCGACGTATAACCGACCATGCATTTTAATATCACTAATATTTTATATTAAATCAGTTTATGGTATTTTATATTGTAGATTATAAAATTTGCTTGAACTGCGTTAAATTAACAAATATTGATTAGGTACTTGTTGAAATAAAATGACACTAGGTACGAACTATTTGTATTTTTAGCAGTTTTTCACGGAGCTCTGCGGCGCAGCGTCTTGACTTTTCAAAGATCTGCGCGTGGCTGTGATGTAAACCAAGAAGTGCTTGAGTGGATTTCAAGCACTTCTTGATTGGGACACATTTTAAGCGCTCGAGGTGTATCTAGGGTATTTAATATCGTTGTTTAGGACTGATTTTTTTTGTTACTTTGAATACCTAATATTGTGATTATATTTCTGTTTGCTTTGCACATTATTTATTACACATAACTTATATAGCACCGAGTACCGGGAGTAACGGGAATCCCAGTTCTTTCTGAACCCGGTACAGGGAATCAAAACTTAAATAACCGGATAGCCGAACACTGTTCTGCATACTCTAGTGCGTAGAGTCCTTTAGCGTAACGAGATTCTTCATCCAAGATTACGACAATGGTTCCGGTTCGATATCGATTTTTTCGTTGTTCCATCTCTGTAATCTGTGGCTGTGGTTCATTCATTCATCTTGCATCTTTCACGTAGTATCCAAGTACCTAGTCTGTGCATCTTTCGTAATAAATAAAGTAAGTAGGTAGGTAGTTTGGAATTGTGCGAATTGTGAAAATCTAAAAAAAATGTCTCTAGCGACTTTATTGTGATCTTCTATGGCTAGTGATGTCTCTTAAATTGTGCATTATATCATTAGCCACATTTATTCAGATTTCCTCTAAGATGTAAGCAAATTTCAACCAGTCCACGTAGAGATATGGGTTCCAGAGTAAGGTAAGATTAAGAAATTCTTAATTAAAGGAAATAGTTTGGAAGATTATATAGGTATTGTCAATACATTCTTATCGAACGTCGCAAAGAATTATTGCAAGAATATTAAATGCCAAATCATCTAACCTCAATATTTTCAGTCAAAATCAAAGTGAAATTAGATCACCTCGTCATGTTATCATTGTTTCATATTTTGTTTTGATTATTTTAGAATATATCCGTACATTTTCAGACTAAAGAGTAAAAAGGGTAGACTTTTGGGGCTGAAAGTCCTTTCAGCTTGTGATTTTTTTTTTTGTAAATGGTATCAGTATCTATTTTCACTCTAAATTGTTTAGGTTCCTTTTTATTGTTGGAGTGTGCCCTGAATGAGGGAGAACACATGGAAGTACACCCCATTCAAATGACAAATGTACTGCATAGTTTAAGCAGCCAAATTTGGATAATGCAATTTTTTTTATTAAAATAAAATAAATTGCATTATCCAAATTTGGCTGTCTTTTGATTAAGATTTTTTACTGTTTATGTGTTATTAATATAATTTACTAGAGTGCCCCACTGTGTTACCTGTTCCGGTTCATTAGGGATATTTTCCCGCAGTAAAACATAGCCTATGTGGTAATCCAGGGTGTCAGCTAACTCCATACCAAATTCTATTAAAATCGCTCCAGCTGGTTAGACGTGAAGAAGTAACCATATGCACTCACAAACTTTCACCTTTATAATATTAGTGTGATTATTTTGCAGAGATACTGTGCGCTATCTGTTTGAGCTGTTTTGTGAGGTATCACCTGGTGACCACACAAGAGATCCATATATTATTAGAAAGTATCCAGAGACTTATAGAAATGAAGAAGAACTGAAAAATATACCAAAATTCACATTCCCATGCCAATTAGAAAAGTAAATGATATTTCTACTACATAGTTGTTTTTAGTCTTATAACATTGAGGTTACATTGGATGAAATATTTTTAGAAAGAGAGTTAATAATAGCCCTGGGTGATAAATGGTATTGATATCTTTTTTATTTTTCATTTCAGCACATTTGTTCAACACTACTCTTTTGTTCTGACTTCTGTAGACTCTAAGTATACATTCTGTTTTTGTCGATATGATCCCAAGGCAAATACAGCATTGGTTCTCTTATCACATTTACCATGGCATGATATATTTTACAAGTAAGTTAATATTTATATTTTATATCTAAAACTAAGGATGATTATAAACTATAAACAGTTATACTATTAGATGTACTTGTAGCTGAACTTATGAGAGCCCAGAGTATTGAAGTGGACTAATGGCTGGAGGCAGATGCAGCTGGGCTATGAGATATGAGTTTATTTTTAGGGTTCCATACCTCGAAAGGAAAAACGGAACCCTTATAGGATCACTCTGTTGTCCGTCAGTCTGTCAAGACCCTTTTTCTCAGGAACGCATGGAGGTATCAAGTTGAAATTTATATCAAATACTCAGGTCTACTGTCCCTTGGAGCTATGAATAAATCAAACTTCTAAGCCAATGCATTCAAAAGGCAGCTGTTTATGCCGCAAATTTTCGAAATTGCAGGGGAATCAAAACCTACAGGTTCTCAGAATCTTGAAATTTGGTACAAAGCAACTCTTATAGCAAAAAAGCGAAAAATTTCATTTATTAATTATTATATACCTACAGGTTTGTACGGAACCCTCCGTGCGCGTGTTCGACTCGCACTTGGCCGTTTTTTTTATCGCCCTTCTCATGACTGACAAATGCGAAAGTTCTTTTAACTCCATAATCGCAGTTCTGCTAAGCACTGCGCCATTAAGCTCTAATAAGCTCTGCATAGTCAGACTAAATAATTGTTGTGAATTGTGTGCAATTCATTGATTTGTTACTTGTTATGTTACTTGTTATCCCACTGCTGATGATCTGTAAGAATCAAGTACAGCGGTAATCAGCGGCAAGCAAGTGTATAGTTACAATAGTTTTGTTGCTTACTTATAAAACTGCTGATTTGTATCATGGCGTGCGTTCCGACCATAATGCAATCATTGCTGAGCGAGTATTATCTTTTGTAGCTCTTGCTGCTGCCACAAAGTAGTGGGTGCTAGTGGCTAAAGGGTTCTTGCCGGCATCGGCAGTGTGAACAGCTAGCGATCAACTACTAGTGTATCTCTCTCTTTAGACTACCTACCTTTCGTCCATTTCTTCACTGAGAAAATAGTTGGGAGCTTATTGCTACATCATCAGCATTGGGACAAATGCTGTAGATTATTATTGTGTACAGGTTATTTTATTTTTCTTATTTCTTGTAATTTTTATTGGTATTATAAAATATTAGTAATTAGGATTTTTTAATCTATAGAAATTATTTACTAGGACTGTTTTAAAAATTGCTCTTGCGAATTAAATACAAATTCAACTAATGATATACAATAAAATTAGTTTAAAGCTAAGCTAAATGATATTTGCTCTACTTTATGAATTTTATATATGTATTCTGCTTTTCAACATTGTTATACAAAAAAAAGTTTAAATGATGATAAAATATAAATTTTGGAAATATTACACATATGTCAAAAGAATTTAAATTATGAAAGATATAAAAGCCAGATACCTGAATAGGTTCGCCGCCGGGGTTATCGTTTTTTTCGGGAAAACTACTAAACATTTATATGGCAAATTTATAGGCAATAAAAGGATCAACTTTTGTATCAAAATCAAAATAACCGACTTTTATAGTGTTTGATTATTATCACCCTCAAAAATCTTTTCATATCACAAAATTTGGTGAAAACTTGCCTTCTTACGTCCCAAATACGCTTTTATGTTTTTGATTAAAAATGTTTATTTTTGATTTATTTCTAAAATGTTACCTTACCTCCCGTCAAAAAAGTTGATTTTTAAATAAGTTTGGTGTGCTTTTCGTTCTTTGGAACTTGTCTTTCTGATGCTATACAAAAAAATATACATATTACTATGGAAAAAAAATACCAGAGCCAATGCAAATGCCTCGTCACATCTCTCGTCATTTTAGAGGAGAAAATGCGGACACTAAATGTCGTGGGCTCTTAGACTATAAGTACCTATCGAATACAACTCATAGTGAAACCCCCCCATAACTGGAAATATTGTAATTAGGTGATATTTTAATTTTGTACTTATGATCACTTAATTATTTAAATGTCCTTTTTTTCAGACTCTTGAGCAGTATAGCTGCTCTCTTGAACAGTCCTGAGAAAGGAGAGTTGATCTCATTTTTAGAAGCATGTAGAATTAGGCCCCCCATGCCTGGCCACACATTAAAAGTAACATACAATGCAGGGCACAGTGTTTTCTCTTGTCAAAGCCCAGACACTAAGTTACCGAGTATTCCTGAAAATGTAAGCTTGTTATTATTATTTTTAGTTTCTAACCCCTTGCTTTAATTAATAGATACTTTTAATTAATTAATACCCGACGAAAAAGAGGAGTGTTTTAAGTTTGACGTTTCTATGTGTCTGCCTGTGGCATCGTAGTTCCATAACAATTGGAGCGATTTGGATATTTAATTTGAAAGCAGAATGAATTTATTTAGCCGCTAGTTTTCGTTGTCTATTATACAGGCAGTCCTCGTACTTACATCATCTTAGGTTCTCGAAATACGCGAAGTGAATTAAACGACGTAAGTCGAGACATTCCCATGGACACCCGCGACAAGTACACGCGACAAGAAATCGAAACAATTGACGTATGCTTGAGAAATAGTGTCAAAACATTGTTCGACGTAACTTGAAACGACGTAAATCGAAACGACGTAAGTCGAGGACTGCCTGTATCTTCAAATTTACACCCGAGAGTGGAATGAAAACTGGTCTATTTATTTCAGTGCAATCTCACGGAGTACTTTAGCGCGTTGGATGCAAAATGTATGGCGGGGTTGTGGGCGGCTTTGTTACACGAGCGGCGGGTGGCAGTCGTCGCTTCGAAGCCGTCGCGCCTATCAGCATGCGTGCAGGCAGCGAACGCCACTCTCTTCCCAATGTCATGGCAGCACATATTTATACCAATATTACCTAAACATTTAGTCGATTACCTTCTTGCCCCGATGCCTTTCCTCATAGGAGTTCCTAGAAGTGTAATGGAGGTATTACATTTTGTTCATTATGGATAATAATAAATATGGCTAGCTTGTATGATTGATGAGCGAACGTGCAATTGCACATTCATGAAAAGTTTGTCGGTTGAAATTTTTTTACAATAATTTTAGACGGTGAGGATGTCCGAAATAGGAGATGTTGTCATTGTAGATGTCGACGCTAATGATTTAAGGACTCCTTTCCATGATTTAGAAAGTCTTCCACCGGATTTAGTAAGTATATTTTTTATTTTAAAAAGGTAGGGTGGTGGTGATGTTACCGTTACTGTTCTCGTTAAATAAGTTATTGTTTACAGGTAACGAGTTTAAAAAAAGCATTAAGTGATAAAAATGCTCTTGGCGATGCTGTATCTAGAGCATTTTTGCGAGCATTAGTATGTTTGATTGGTGGATATCGTGATGCTATTAAGTAAGTATTTTTTCAAGTCGCTATCAAGGACTCAACCATGTGGGTGGATTGTATTATTTGCTTCTGCCAGTTAAAATGATAATTTGTGCGTAATTGTGCAGTGTTTGTCATATTTAATAGTTCCTACTTTTTGCAGAATTGAAAACGGGCAACTTATCACATTTAATCCCGAGGCTTTTGTGAGGACTAGAAAAAATATGCAACCCTTTTTAAGAAAAATACTCCAGTCACAAATATTTCAACAGGTAAGGAGAATTTAATTTACGTATTTTGTAACCATTTTTTTTCTTACATGGTATAGAAGTATAGTCTATTTGTTGCATAATATAATTTGTTATTTATATGTAGAGGTCACATTAAGTGAATTGACCTTATCTGGTTTTAAGTGAAGGTAAAGAACAACTGATGCAGCAGTTTTACCTGCCACACTAGCCATACTAATCTTGCAAGCCTGCAAATTGATTCATCGCGCCTCCTTCAAAGATATGTTCTATACCTCAAAAGGAAAGAACGGAACTCTAATAGGATCACTTTATTGTCCGTCAGTCGGTCTCGGAACCATGTACTCAAGATTTTTGTTCCTTGAAGAAATGAAAAGATCAAAGTTGTAACTATAAAATCTGACTATAAATAACACCGTACCTTCCCTATTGCATTAAAACTGAAGAAATTCAGTTTTAATAAGTACATTACCTCCTGCAATTATTGGCCGTCACCTTGTATCCTTTTCATTTGTATTACAGTTTATTGACGAAAGGTTGGAACTCCTCAATTCTGGACGAGGTTTCAACGACGAATTCGAAGTGGAGTGCAATAATTACGCGGACAAGTTGAACACGGGCAGTGGCCAAAAATTAAAACAACAATACAGAGATTGGGCTAAGACTGTCAAAAAGGAAGGCGGCGCCTTCTTCAAAACTGTCAAAGATAAGGTATAGGGAAAAACATAACTAATCAACGTTCTTCAATAACTTGACTAACAAATTTAAAGTTTTTGTTTATTCTATTACTGAAGTATGAAATCGTATGGTGTATCATACTTTTTATCGATCGACACTAAAAAATAATAATTTAAAAATATCAAATTCAAATTCTGCTAACCCCATCATAGTAGGGGAGCCCAAGATGCTAAATAGGGATTTACTCGAGCGTCGTTGGGATCAATTGGATTATGAAGGTTAGATGCTTAGAAGAAAAAAAGTTACTATAATGTATACCATTTCACAAGTGGGGGGAGCGTGTACAGGTTTTGAAAAAAAAAACAGTTACATTGAAATATTCGAGCGCGTTAGATATTAATAGTGTAATCTCCCCTCGTGTATCTGATAACGGAAAAGTATTAATCTGCCGGTTAGCATGGTGGAGTTGGCCGTACGAAGGGGTAGAGAATCTTTATATCGATAGTTCAACATCCTACTATTATAGGGTGAGAAGGTGAAGACGGCAAAATATAACGGGCACGACAAGGGTTACCAGATCGGAAAATAAGTTTTCCTGGAAAAATCCCTGTTTTCCAGGAAAACTTATTTTCCTGACAATTTGTGTTAGTGATATATTATAGACAGGTCGGTAACTTTTTTTTTAAAATATTATTGACAATATGAAATTTTCCCTTTCTCTCTGACAGATAGCTAAAATTCCGGACATGACAGGAATATTTCACTTATCTGGTAACCCTAGGCACGGTCCATCCGGCCCCTCTATGTTCGCCTATGTCAATATTTTGCTGTTCAACTAGGAGTTATGACCGGTCTTCAGGTCTATTTTATAATGAGTTAAATAGCAATAAGTAATTAAACTATCTAGCTATTTATTATCGACTCAGAGTTTTGTTTTGTCAGAATGCAGATATAAGTATGAAATGAATCCGGATAACCGTATGTTGAGCTTTTCGTTTTGTAAAATAATATAGCACAAAAATATACGAAATATCAATTTGATAATATAATCGATTTTAATATAACTAATAAATTCATGCCTTGCAGCTTAAGGCTAGAAAAATTTCGACGCGGCTAATAGGGCCGTGGTAGCATAATGGTCAGTGCATTCGCCCGGATAGCGAAGGATGCGGGTTCTAGTCCCGTCCGCTGCCTGGTCCGCGTGGATTTTTTTCTAGTAAACTTTTCTTTAGATTTAAACATCTAGCAGTTAAATGCTTAAAAAATAAATAAAATCATAATAAATTCATTCTACAATTACCTATATATCTATTGCTTAATTAATACACTCCAGTTAGTGGAGAAAATGTAAATATTTTCTTGATTCTTATTTATGCTAATAACCTTGCTTAATTTATAATAACTGGTGATTATAAATAACCTATTGTTCTTCAAGTAATAATAAAATGAGCTTACTTTATGAAATTTATAAAACAATCCTTCCCAGGACTTCAGTTTTAGTAGGTCTGTTACTCGGTCGATGTACATCATAGATTATAAAATTAAACTGTTAAATTGTATTCATACAGCAGTCGCACTGACAATCATGTTCGAGTAATGTGTAATTGACAGACTTTCAGAACGTGTCTTAAAGTAAAAGCATTGCGTACTTAAAAAAATAATTAAATAATACAAAAAAGAATGATGTTACCTATCACCGTTAAGATAATTTTATGTATAAAAGATAACATGCGAAATAGTGAAATAATATAATGTACCTAACGATTTAATTCACAAATAAATGACAATTATTCCTTTCCCCTTTGAGCATACTTGACTTTATACATTTGACTTATTTACTCTTTTTATACTTTTGACTAGAACATAGTCAAAATAAAAAACAAAAGAGTAGTTTCTTCTTAAAAAATTACGCGTTTGACTTTTAGATATTTATATTTTGATAAAATTTACTGAAATGTATTTAATGTTATCAATTAAAGTAATTTAACTATTACTTTAATTGATAACATTAAATACATTTCAGTAAATTTTAATACTTAAGTTGTAATACTTTTGCAAACGGAATTAAGTTAAAAAGTTGCGGGTAATTGGCGGGTAATTAAAATAAGTAGTTCCATAAACTAGTTTACCCAGCGAACTTCGTACCGCCATAAAAATATTGGTGACAGAAGTAAATTTTTGATGACAAATCATGGAAAAAGAAACAGATTTGAACACCACTCAAGTACTTCTAAGTTCACAGCCACGCGGGGCACGTTGAAAAGTCAAGATGCCTCGGAGCTCTGTAAAAAAATGCGAAAAAAGCACATAATACGTAAAGTGTCCTTTTTTCCACTAGGTATCTAATCAATGTTTGTTAATTTAACACATTTGAAGCCAATTTTGTTCATACACACATATACACATCAAATACACTGATTTTATAGGAAATATTAGTGATATTCAAATGCACCGTCGGTAATATAATCGTCTCTATTCCTCGCGGTCCATACTTGCTATTTTGCTAACAGCACATTCAGAATTGCGCGTCGAGATAAAGAAATAAGGTCTATAATCTTCCGCATATAGCAATAAGTCGTAGAATTTTATAAGCTTGCTTTACGAACTGTCGTAACTCTTTGACGCATGCGTTTTAATTAAGACCTTATGTAGTTAATGATGATTTTCAATGTTTAAATAATGCCTTATATTGTTTTTCATTACGTGATCGTCTTACGGGGCTCCGTGGATCGTCCAATGTACCTTTTGGATAGGTTTCGGCCACGATTTTGTTCGTGTTGGTGTATCTAGGGAATTTAATATCGTTGTTTATTCCTTTTCAAATACAAGTAGGCTTGCTGGTATTTGTATCTAGAAAGTCATGCAAACTTATACGAACATAAATGATAAGAATTCAAAGATATTCTGTATTATTATTATGCTTGTTGAGTTAAGCGTTGTGACGTTAGGACAATCGAAATTATGCGATGGACCCTTATTCGACAATCTACACACTTTAAATCAAATATATGTCAATTATATATTATTATGCAACATATTTTGTCAGTGCGAATGCTTCATTAAAAGTAACAAGCCTACCTTGGAACTGTTCATTAATGCATGCATGCTGTAAGTACTTAGATTTTCTTTTGCTTTAAAATATGAATATTTACAGGCAAACCCAGCAGTACAATCGGCTGTGAAAACGGTGAGTCCTAGAGAGCTCTGTGGTCTCATGGTACCTATATGTCAAAGTGTTATTCTTTATTTAGCTTGGTGGAGTGTACTCGTTTTATTCGACAGATATTTTTATTATTTTTTAGGGTAGCTATATTACTAAGAGATGAGGCGGGCAAAGTTTTTTTCATACAAACGTTCTCGACTGATTACTCCTTGGTTTTCATCACTAAAGAAATGTTTTTCATACATAAAATATAGTTTTACTCATTCTATGCTTTCATGTCTTCCTTTTTTTGATAACTTGTGTTTCAAAGCAACTGGAAGCCCACAAAAACATATTTCTATCACGTCTAAAGACGTCTAGTGAGGTGATTCAATAAATATTAACAAAAAAATGCAAAACTTAGAGGCATAGTTTAACTACCTATTATTCTATGGATAAAATTTCTTTTGCATTTATCTAATTTTCGAGGAGGAAAACGTCGAGAGCCAAACCCTAAATTTTGCAATTTATATGTGCAATTTTCAGCGTTAGCTGCAGTTATCCCTATCGCACGGCATTTACCAATGCGCGACAGCAATAGTTTTTTCTAATACGTATTTCTCAAATGTCTCTCGAATTTGACCTTAATAGATTTTCTAAAAATAAAGGTAGGTGTTTTTTTGTAATTTCTCTCTATACTGACTTTGTATATTTTTAAGCTTCGCTTATTGACTGATATGGGACGTAGGCATAGATTGTTTTTTTTTGCAGGCATCCATACGACTTGCAGGTAATCCTCAGTTCGGCTTTTGTGTTTCTGGTCAGCAGGCGTACAGTTTTTAATTAAGTTCGTTGTTAAGTACAATTTCGTGACATTTAATCATTCAATTGTATCACATCTCCATAATATTCTAGAAAAATACGCATGTTTAAGTCATTATAGTTAATATGATATTAGTGCGGTAAGTTGGTTATTACAAACGAGTAGACGAATGTGTGGTGAAAATTAGAACTACATAATTTCGTCGCTTTCTTTTTAGTATTAAAGTGAGACATAGGTATAGCATAGACTAAAAGCGATTCCGAGGAGGTTAGATCGAAATTAAAAAAAAAAACTGTAAGCAATTCGTAATGTGCTATTTACGGGAGCATGCGTAATGATTTTTTACCACACGCTCCGCTGTATGGCCCGTAATTTTCAATTATCGAGCAATGTAAACAACCTTCGAAAATACATATTTTGAGCAAATGTGTTAATAACATACTTTCCGTTAGTTAATTAAAGCAAGTGGCAATATCAAAGACACGCGTTAATTATTACCATTACAGTGTTCGTATTGTAATGATAAATTTATTAGCGAATAAATGCTAGTATGTTAAACCTCTTTTTACTTAACTGCCTAACGAGGAGTGCAATGTTATTGAGTTCTTTGAATGATTTTTTAAATACTCTTTTAAATCTTTGAACAGAAGGTATATAGTATCGTTTGAATCCTTTTATCGTATGGTCATCTTTAGACAAATCGATTTTTTAAAAGTGATTAAGAACTTAATTCTTTATAATAAAGATATCAATAGGTTCAGATGAGCACATTCTGAACATATTTGATTCATATAATTCACATAGATTTTATTCTTATTAAATGTATTCTAAATCATCCAGACGAGTATCAAGCATTGAAATAGCTCAGGATAATTAGGGCGATGCGGCGGAGGGAGATACACGGGCACGCCCAAGTAGCCCCCCGCAGCGGACGGGGGGCGGTACGGTGGGCACTAGGCCGCGTACTCAGCCCCCACGCGCGGGCCTACCTGCGCACGTTTGCAGGGGCCCCGCGATACCCGGGAGACCCCTGCCGTGGAGCCCCGGCTAGGCCGGTTGGCTGCTGGGTGCGGAGACGAGAAAAAATCCCTAAACAGGGATCCTTCGGCTTCGCACTAGCTTCGCAGCTTGAGGGTATTCGCATGGTTTTTTAGCGGATAGTACGCCGTTAAGCGTGCTCGTAAGGCGCAGGTTACTTTGGAGGTTAGCCCCATCGTGCCCGTGACGTTTGCGAGTGCAGGGTGTGAGGTCCGTTCGGCGGTGTGCCTCTTAAAGGCGCCGTCGTCTGTAAACAGAGGTTTTGCCTGCGTCACAAAAAAAAAACAGGATAATTAGGGCTATAGAAAACGCAACAATACTACGTTAAAAGAGGTTCATACCAGCGATGTTACAAAAATTAACAGCCTAATATTCTAAAAACCGCACAATCCTCAAAAAACTAGTTTTGTGGTGAAACTACGATTTAAACTAACTTTATTATAATAGACAATCGTACACTCCACTAAGTTTACATACGACAACAGAGGTCGTGAAACTAAATCTATTCGTGCACTGGGTCTCTTTAGTGACTGTAAAAAGTATTTATTGCATGCAATTGCATATTGAAAGTATGGGTCCTATGGGTAATGTCCGATATTCATTGACAAGCGTGTGTGTAATACAGCATTCGAACAAAGCTTACTAGACTTCATAGAGTATAATTATTATATTTGTATACAGCCACGCGACTGTCAGTAAAAATCGTATATTTTTAAATTACCAATGTGAAATGCGCTTACATGTACATCCACGATAAATATAAATATTAAGATAAAGGATATAGATTCTGTCTATAGTGTTAAGACACGGATTGCAATTAACAATGCTCAGTACCTACCTACCTATAACACTGGGTGTTAAGAAAGTCTATACATATAATAATTAACGTAGTCACATCCTTGTTAAGAACTCAGACTGAGTATTCAGAGCACTTTATTCATTTGTAAATATTTAGTACCTATATATACTTTCGCTGTATAGATTCTTTTGCCATCTGAAAATAAAGAAATAACTTTCTGCCTTCCGTACAGTCTATTACTTAAAATCAACAAATTAACCAATAATATTTTTTTGAAATAATCAGGTCAGGAAAGGCGGTAAAAATATGAAATCAGCCGTAAAAGGGCTGAAAAATAAGATACCGCGAACTGGCTCGAGACCTTCATCAATTAACACAACTGACGATAGCAGGTAAAGATAACATTAAATTAAGGTTAAGCGGTGCTTGCATTGCGAATACTAGTGAAATCGGCGGTTATAATGATCTGCGGTCCAAACACGAACTTTCACAGATCCGTAATCGTATCGTAATCGTCAAATTTTGTATTGAAAGAACTTTGTTCTTACTTTGACGATGCGATACGGTAAAGGAGCTGTAGTGCTTAGGCATCTGCTCCTAACCCCTCATTTAAGCTAATCAGTATTTAAACATAAAAAAAATATGCTGTCTTCTTTTTTTGGCACACCCATATACATGTATAAAACTGGTATGAAACATTGGATAAGCAAAATATGTGATATAAGTGTTTTATAATTGTATAGATACTTGTTGTCTGTACAGCGTAAACGACCTTTTTATGTTAAAATGGAGGCAAACGGGCATTTGTGTCTGTGTGCCGTCTTATGGTAAGCGGCCACCATGGCCTATAGACGCTTGCGATACAAAAAATATCACTCGCGGGGTTGCCTTCCATGATCCAAGCCACCAAAATGTAGTGTTATTTTACTGTGTCTGTCTTCGGTAAGGTGGAGGTCACTTCCCCAGACGGAAGCTCCTATTCGATCGGTAAATCCGCCATTCCCTACCTCTCTTACAAACTATGTTTAGAACAACAACAATAAGTTGTTGTCTGCGGCGATGCTGTCTAGATTATTTTTTTAACCGTATAGGTAGTAGTATTTTTTTTGGATGTCAATTTTCCGCCCACCCTGTATATACTATTCTATCCGTTACCTTAGTATCCCATAACACAAGCCTAGCCCCTCGTTTACACCAAGGTATAACATATGTATTTAACTAATTTAATACAACGTCTTCATTTTTTGTTCACACTTATAGACTAGTATAAAACAATACTTGCATAACACTTGTTGGATAAACAAAATGTGTAAGCCAATAAGTGATTTGTACTTGTAAAGATGCAAAGTAAACATAAGAATGTTTCACACAGTCACAAGGAGTATTCTACAAGTTTTGTGTAAAACTAGTATATGACTTGTCTTTTGGTGTAAACGAGGGGTTACAGTGCTTACTTTGGAGCTAGGCTAATTAGTGTGAGTGTAAGAAATATTTGTTATTAAAAGAATATATTAAATTTTATTAATGTCAACAAATAGTACAACAATAATAACAATTTAAATATTTCATTGAGTTCGCATGTGCGGGGCACGGTCCCCAGAAGACTGGCAGCTTTGCCTCGCTGTATCGCCAAACTAATTCGTTAAGCCAAAAAGCTGCCAGATCTTGGGTCCCCCGTAGCCTCGCACATACACTTGTTATTTATGTATTATTATTAGTAAGTATAGATTTAGCTTGCATGTTGATAGATTCTCGTGTGGGTCGGCGACGCCCGTGTCGTCCGACTCGTCGGACTCGTCGCCGTCGCACGAAGCGCCCGCGTCCGCGCGCGAGCCGCCCCCCGCTCTGCCCCTAGACCTACTCACCGAGATGGAGTTCCTATTCGCTAACAAACACACGCAGCGCCGCGATAGCGTACCCAACAGTTCGCACAATTCCGATTTAAGTTTGCCAGACAAATCTGTAAGTCCTACTCCGAGTGTATATAAGTGTAGAATGTTACTTGTCAATACTGAATACTATCCAGGTGCTTGATCCGTATCGTTCTTACTCGTCATGCTTCTCGTGCCTGATCGCAACTTTGTGGTCCTCTGTCAAGCTATTTTTTTATTAATCTATAAAAAAACCTGAAGTTTCGATCCGGCTTTTATCTGTATTTAAAGTCATGCCGAAGCTCCCATAAATTCAATGTCGTTGTCACTGAAACAGTTACAACGGAGAACATTGGTTTCATGATGCACTAAATTGTAGTCTCGCATTCTGTCTTTGCTGCGCTTGATTCAGTAAATCGTGCTTTCGACCACTTAGACTGTGCTTGTTCGTCTTATATCGTTTTAGGTTCGTTGCGAATGCGTTACCAGCATGCGTACGCCCATAGGAACACTGTGGCACATTATTCAATTTTATTTTGCAGAAAACTATGTCACCATGCCTCCCACCCCGGTTACCGGAACGTCCCCAACTCCCACTCCGTTACCCAATCATTTCCACGAGGAAACTAATCGATCTGTCAGATGCTCCGACACCGCCACCGCGGTCGATTAACGCGACGAACCACACTATGCACTTTATCAGTAATATCACAAAAAACGACACAACGCCGGAGAAAGACTTCCACACGAGCACGATACGATTCACAGAAGGCAAGGACAAGGCCAAGTTAAAGCTCACCATTTCGTCGAACCAGAGAAAGGTGCCCCAAGCGAATGCGCCGTTGCTCTCCAAAAGCAGCGCGCCGATAAACTCGGCATCCTCTCTAGGAGTTAGGCAGAGCCAAGTGAGTCGCTTAACGAGACCGGTCGTCCGACCCGTTGTCAACATATCTCCAAAAGGGAAAGTTCAAGAGGTAACTGTGATATGCGCATTTGTAATCATATCGATATTGTACTATGTTATAAAACAAAAAATTGCCTTCATACCTTGACAACAGTGTGGAGTTTGTTTTGCACTAACACACGAAATTCAACTTCGTTTCCTCTGTTATAAAACTATGTACGTATTTATTTAATTTATTGTTAATGATTATGGTTTAATATATTTATAATAACATTTAAAATGTGGTCCCTTTATTACCCACGATCTATTTAACAATCTATACAGCCCAAAAACTATTTAAGCGTCCCTAGTGCACTGAAGGACTTATCGAAGATGTTGAATCATAAAAGTATGGAAATATTTTGTCGTGTATTACAAAAGAATTGACAAAAATGATGAAGAAAAAAATGTTTTTTTAAATAAACCGGATGGGTGGCATGAACTTAACAAAAGTGGTCGCTATGAAGATGGCGACTCACAATTAACTTTGTAAAAGGTAAATATGACAAATGGTTTTAATGATTCGATGCTTAGATAGTAAAAAATGCGTTGTTCCTCCGTACTCTGACTTCGTTCTCCTGCTCTTAGCAATATGTTTAGGAATAATAATGCTTCCCATTATCGCTTAGAATCAGATAGAGTGGATACACTTGTAGGCTCTGTACTTACAACAAACATAACATTTCTGTTAACCACGAGTTACGAGTGAGTAACTCAAAGGGTAATGTTTGAACTCGGACCGCCTTATTCCAAAACGCCGATTAAAGTGAGTATTGGTTTATATACCTGACGTTGTGTCTGTTTTCTCTTTAGCAAACAAAATTGACAGCATAACTTTTAAACCAGATTTCACTTTAGTCAACGTTTTGTAATAAGACTATAAAAGTTTTACTCAACTGGTTTTCGACGGCAGCCGTTTAGTATTTTGAATGGCCAATTCAATGGGGTAGGGGTGCAATTCAGAAATGGCCTCGCGCGTCAGATTTTAATTGACGCCTCTGCCCACAATGGATACTTTGAACAACCAAGATTGCATGAACATCTAAAAACTAAGAGTTACAAAATCTTTTAAAAAAAAACAAATATTCTGTGAAAATGGTTACTAAGAAACACCATCGAATTCCTTTTTGGGGTGCTTTAAATCAGGGCTTGTTTACCGGTTAATTTTCAAACCTAAATCAGTATCAAGTACATTAGGAGCGTTTTATTTAGGTTTGGCTCTACCTTAACCTTAAAAAAAAACGGTATTTCTAAAAAGTGAAATCAAATTGGTTTTGAATCAATTTAGCGGTTTTTAAAGGGTTTCATTTCGCTCTTACTTACGACATCGCCTTCGCTTTATGGCAGTTTCTTTCGAACTACAGAGCGAGTGAGTGAAGTAGTGTGTCAGTACACAACTACAAAATGAATAACTTAACTCACTAGCAGTGGCGGACTAAGCTCGTCAGAGGCCCGGGGCGGCAAAGCTGAATGAAATTTAAATTCCAAAAAAATATTTCGGCTAAATAAACATACATATCTACAATATGGTACATATTGACTAGAAACGTAGGTGCATATTGACTAGAAATTACGGATTATGATTTCTAGGCTAAATTTTACGAAGAATTACTTACTTTTTCCAAATACTTAAAAATGCACTAACTCCACTCTAAACTCATTTACTTTTATACAGCAACAAAAAACACTACATAGTACACTTTTTAATGAGGTTACTTTAAACGGATTTTAAATGAGGCCAATGTTTATTTTTCGACGTAAACATAGTGAATGTTAATAAATGTAGGCGTACAAGAGTGAATTATTTGTACTTCATTCATTCAGGGATTCCTACAGAGACGGGATTCCCCCAGCGTATTGGACGCGTTAAGCGAAGTAAAAAGAATATTAGTACCGCGTAAAAAGTCTAGTTGGCTGTAGTGTTTTGATCTTGATGAAATTATGTAGATACTAAGCACATTTTTAAAGTCTAGTTTAGGATTTGATCAGGGGAACGCATTTGGGGGGCCCCCAAGATCGGAGGAAGTTTAACCGGCCTGGTAAAACAGTCTCGTTAACAAGATCCCTAAGGTTCGCTTTGTGCTTTCGCTACGTGTGCTTAGTGTGACATCACCGCTTTGCAACGATATTAAAAACCCTAGATATAACAGGTGCGCTCAAAATGTGTCCCTACCAAGAAGTGCTTGAGTGGTGTTCAAGTTCACAAACACTTGCGTACTGTTGAAAAGTCGTAGAGATCCGTGAAAAATTGCGAAAATAAAACTTATATTACGTAGTGTGTCGAATTGTGGACAGGTATCTAATCAATGTTTGTTAAATTAACACTTGCTTCTGTATTTAGAACAAAATTTGCATCTGTGTTAAATTTGCTAACATTAATTTAACACAAAAGCAAATTTTGTTCTAATACTTACTATTAACTGATTTAATAGATAATATTTGTGATATTCAAATGCATGGTCGGTTATATAGCCGTCTCTTTTCCTCGCGCTCCGTACCTGCTATTTTGCTAACAGCGCATTCAGAATTACGCGTAGAGTCAAAGAAATGAAGTCTATATTCTTCCGCCTATAGCAACAACTGTTAACTTTATACGAGCTTGCATCTCGAACTTTCAATAAAGGTGACTTTGCATGTATAAATAATGCTTTATATATTTTTAGACTTCGCGGTCATTTTATGGATCTCTGTGAATTAAATCAAATCAAAAGACCAATGTACCTTTTGGACATGTTTCGGCCAAGATTTTGTTCGTGTTGTAGTATCTAGAGTATTAAATATCGTTGCCGCTTCGGTTCAATTTTTGCACGTGTTCATATGACTATCGTTTCGTCGTCTGTTTCTCAAGGCTATAAATATTTTCATCAGTATCTGCGTATAAAAACGTTCATAACAAGAGCAACAATTGTCATTTGTATATATATATTAATTACCAAAACAACAACAACAATTATCATTTGTTACTGTTGTTTTGGTAATTAATACATAATACATAGTTATTTCAAAAACATTACGTATTAGCGACCATTACTGGTGCCGTATACTTGTATTAACAAACTTTTTTATTTATTTTTTGAAGTGAAACTTCTTTTCGGACCAGGTGAAAAGTTTTATGGAAAAGATGAAACGGAAATGCGTCATGGGCGTGTCACGGTTATGTGTGTGTGTGGGATGCGTGCGCAGCTCTTCCGGACGAGCATGAAAGTTGGAGGGTAACTCGGCGAAGGCTGAAACGCCACGAGCGTCACACGCGACAATATATATATATGAGTGATGCGTGCGCTGCTCCATTTCCCTATGCCTTATGCTCCTCCTGGTGTTAGGTTATAAGAAAAGAAGTTTTGCTTCAGATGTGTGTCCGTGCACACATTTTGTTTCTTATAACGGTCATCCTAATTACTAAAGACAAAACGTAGATCCGTTATCAAGCGATGCTCCGAAATTAATGTGGCCATTATTAGGGCACTATACTATACTATGCCTGTACGTTATCAACTGACAAAGCATTCAGCTAAAATTTGTCTATCAAGAAGTTTGGTGGATATACTATAACAAATAATGCGTTATGTATAGGAGTATGGGGGAACAACGGATATATGTTGATAGACTTGGTGTAACTATTTAGGCAAGGAAATTTACTTTCTTGTATTATGCTGAGCAATAGAGAAATAATGTTAGTTTTCGTCGGTTCATTATTAGAAAACGAACAACGAATTATAATTTAGTATAAACTATCTTTTATTTTAATGGTCTTGCTGTTTATAGCTTTTTGTTTAATTATATTTATTTTAATTAGCTTATTTTATAGGTGGACCTATCATAGGCACCTTCTCGCTCGCTCGCAAACAGCAGCGCTTTAGAAAAATTATGACAAATGGCTGTCATTTTCATATTTTTGATATATAACGCAGCTGTTACGTATATATAAATACAAAATTTATTTAGTATTCAACATTTTTAAAACATATCATACTCAAAGAGTCTTTTTCTGTATTTTTAATACATATGCAAAAACAACAAGTTTTATGATCACATTTCCATAATTTTGACTCCAAACATTACATTAAAAATTCAATTTAACATAGATTAATTTATTGTTATTTTTTACATGTGTTGAAAACATTGGTGTAGATTCTGAGCATGATTATCTAAACTTAAAACTAAATTTAACATCAGTCTCTCCTTTTCATTCTGTATAGAATAGAGCGTGACAAGGATACACTGTTGTCAAATTAAAGTTTCAGGTTTAGAGAATCATGTCGGAACCGACACCATTGTATAACACTTGCGGAATTGTGATTGTTACTCGTTCCAAATTACGTTGCTATTAGCTCGGGCCAACACATTGGGTCTCGTAAGATATGACAAAAATCCACATTTTCTATAACGTAGTGTTACATTAGTGAGGGTTTTTAATTATAAGCTCACAAATATAATGGCACCACCATATTTCTTTCTGCACCATTTTGTATGAAACCTTCGTTCCAAGTCAATATAGGCAAATCTAAAATCACTGTCTTACGGATCCATGTTGGATGCGTTTTTGTACCAATTCAATAAACTAGTACGTATATGCACGAATATGCATAAAGAAAGATACCAAACAGGTAGTTCTAGTGATGTTGCTTTTTGTATTGAAAACGATTTTATCGATATAGATGCGGGTTTCTATAAAAAGGCAGGAATCCTTCTTAAAATTAATATGAAATCTAATTATGTTTAGGTACTATAATAAAAATATCCATGTCGGATGATAGTACATATAGAATGAATAAATAGTAGTAGCAAATAATTAAAAAAACTGTTCAATAAAAGCAAGATCAGATCAGCGATCAGATAATTAGTTAGACTCAAGACTTGTGGTTTACTGTAAAATATTTAAGATTTGCCTATAAGTACTATATTTTTTTAATAGTATTCATATTATGCATACTTTTGTCCTTGCCTTCCTAAAGTCTTGATATGCATGTTATTTTGCTGAATACTTAGCTAAGATTGTATAAACGTGATATTAATATTCTTATGCATGAGTATAAAATGTCATGTAGATATATTTTTAAAATATGTATAATATTATTCTAATAACTCACTTTAATTTTAACACATACTTTATTCGTAACATTATTTTTCAATAGTCAATTAAGAGGAAAAGTAGGTAGGTAGGTACTTATTAATGCAAGGAGATGATTTGAAAATTATTTAAGTTTTGCTGGTACAGATATAACGTTAGATTTGTGATATGTAATTGTAAATGAGCACAAATTGTTAAATTCGTTAATGTTATTTATGTTTTAAATGGTCAAGCTCTTTTATTGGAAAATGGTTTCTGTTTCTTATTTAGTATTGAAGTATGAGAATATGTTGCATTTTTTTTTATAAAGTTATCTATGGAAATCTGGTTGAAATACTAATCGGATGGTAATAACATTATATTTGTTGTATTTCATGAAAAAGTCGGTACAATAGAAATATTTTAATATAAATGAAAATTTGAAAGTTTGTTCATTATAATCGCAAATAAAACTAGGTACACAATGAATAGAAAAAGGGGTCAGTGACTTTGAATAGATCTTTAAAACTATGATTTCTTTTTCAGTCGTGTGGCTCGGTTTCTGATCTCATTAAACTGGATGATTCGCCGACTAACTTAGAAGACTTTGATCCGCTGAAGTGTCGTGACAAAAAAAAAGTTGACCAAATCAAATCGTCTACAGACAGTGCTCTCTTACACGAATACGGTCTAGATTTTAGTCAATTCGGCCTGTTAGATTATACACCTAGCTCTTCGAGTACAAGGCAAGAGACCTCATCTAGTGTCCCAAAAGGCTGGACAACGTTCAATTAATAAAATATATTTTGGAGACGTTATTGATGTTAACTTTACCTATAATAGCTATAGAAATTTATTTTGTTTGCTGTTTGACTGATTTATTCATTATCCATATTATTATAAATTATATATACTTATATTATATATTAATTAATAGCAACGAGAAAATCAACTAGATACCTAATCAAAATAATATATCATACAATGTGTTGTAAATATTATAATGCTTTTGATACAGAAAGCTATTATTTAGTATATAATCTTATGGAAAAAATCACAAGACATACCTATGCCATGGAAAAGTTTGTATTTGTCTTATAAATAACTATACATTTATGATCAGCCCTAAGAGTCAAGAGCATCCAGTGATCTTGATTAACATAAATAAAAATGGTTTCAAATTAAATTTATTAAAAGCTTTATAACTTTTTAACTGGTATGTAAATTAAAATATGTTATATTTCCCCAGTGAAATATTTAAAAAGGGCTTAATTTTTTATAATAAAAAACAGCTGTAGGTATAACTTGGATTTCGAGTGTTTCATTGAATTGAGAAACGCCTTCGTCGCGCACAATGAATTTTGTCTTGTCTTTGCATATTTTTATGAAGTAAAATAATTTTTAATATATTTTGGTACCTACCTATTACTGATTAAAAGACAAACATGTCGGTTGAAAACCGAAGCGGAAAACGAATGGCTCCAGTTTGACATGCCAATCACCATTCTTAAAGTTGATATTGATATAAAAGTTAACATATTTTTATGTAATAATTTGTCAAAATTATTGTAAGGGTTATTTTTTGTAACTTACGCTCTCTACTCCTAACACGCTTTTTTTGAACAAGTTGAGAAGTTTAGTTGCATAAAATAACCTTCTCTTAACCTAACTTCTCTACTCATTGTAAAATATTTTGTATTGTTACATATATTTGTATAGTTCGCGTCTGTCAGTTATGATTTGTGTAGAGTAATGCTCTTTATAGTCATTGAATTTTATTTATTAATGATGGTGATTAAATATTGTTATTTTGTTTGTATAGTTAAGTGTTGTACATAATGTTACATATCAGTGTAATCTAAATGTCATTAAATTCAATTAGTGTTTAACTATATTATTTGTATATGTGCTAAAATGAAATCTTCCGTAAATGAATGTAATGTAATTTGTTTGACGATAGTTATGGTAGACCATTATTGGGTGTAATTCGCTTGAATTTCATGCCAATTTAATGCGATTTCAAGCTATTATTGGCTTGATACCAACTTGTTTGATGGATTGTAAATATACAGCTTCTAGGTTTACCAGAAAAATAGTGATTGTAATTTAACGTCACAATAAATAAAAAATAGATTAAAGCCTTTAACGAGCTTTTTAAGCTTGTGACGTACCTGAATGAAATCAGTTAAAAATTACGTAAAATGATTTGTTTCATCATTTTCCTAATTTAAAATTCTGAAAGATATATTCAATTTATTAAATGTATCTTGTAATGCTAATAACTAATAATTTTTGATGTTTTTTTTCTATTTTTTTTATTACAAGCTAAAGTTATTTCGATCCATTTATGTTATTCACCCTATTTGCTGTGATAGGAAAGATTAAAACATCAAAATTCATTGGAAACGCAAACGTTGCGCTTGGACACTTTTGTGTCTTTTATGGGACAGATCCTACCAATAAATATTTGATTTTTATAGATCCAGTATTAAATCAGCCACTCCCTGCGCAGATGTAAACATTTTTTGTGTTCAATTGCTTCCACTTTACACACACACGTACTCGATCATAACGATCTGTGTTTCGGTGCCGGTAACTAAAAGTCGTCAGTTGAAGACACATGCAATATTAATAAAGTTGAACTTCGATTTCTGCCCAATTTTGTACCTTATTACAAATTATCTCAAAAAACATCTAAAATCATAAATTAAAAGACTCACTCATCAAAACCTCATTTCCATAGAAATTTGTATATATCTGAATGTAATATTTTGATTACATGGAATCTGTCATTGACTGACAGATGACAGTTAATGCTATTGGTTTAAATTCATTTCCTTGATTGTGATTGGTTGTATTAAAAATCACGTGACTGTTTTCGTCACGTTGTAACTCTGAATATAACAGTGACATTTTGTAATATTCATGCTTTTGCCAACCAGGTTATTTTTTTATGATTTGCGTTACTTATTTTAATTAAGTAATTCAAAGATGCACATTTACTATAATTCATTATCTGCGTTGCCATTAATTTAAATGTTTAAACGACATTTTTATGTGGTATTAGATTAGTTACAAGTAGATAATAAATTCTGTATGTTTTTTATGTTGAAAGTGTGGCATACAAGCGTTTGGCCGCCTGATGGTAATCGGCCACCATAGCATATAGAAGCTTGCGATACCAAAAATATCACTCTCGTTTTTGCACACCCTGACCCAGTCTGTCCCCTACCCCGTGGAGTACCACGATTTAATGAATCCCGTGCATTTTTCTACACATAAATGCATGATAACACGTCTTGAGGTACAAGATTAGGTAGAGTTTTATGGAAAAAAAATGATGCTCTCGTTACAATAGACTATTTGACAGTATGAAAAATGAAGTACCAAGTATTGTCATGCGTATTTAACGTGAATATTGGGAGCGATTGCACTGTTCTGACAAATAAATATTACTAAAAATCATAGTATTTTTTACGTGACCGAAAACGTCTAGGATTAGCGGAGCCTAATACGACGTCACCTGCTTGTAAACAAGATGTCGAAGTGACATTACTTTGTACTGTTTGACGTTTTAATGTGAGCCGTGCACCGGCTCACCTGCCTGTAAGATGCTATATTTGCTAGAGAAACGTTTCCGCGGCATATTTAAACTCATTTTTTTTTCCTGAAACTCGCTACATAATCATAAATATCCACTTTTTATGTAGTCACCATTTTAAAAAACTTTTCAAATAGCCAATTATATTGAGTAGAGCCGACTCCGGACACAGCCATTATAGTAACCAGTGACCAGGGTTTTTATTTATGTTTCAATAGTTTTGATTTTTGGCTCAGTCACTGTTACTGAAACAAAGTTGGAGTCGGACTCGCCCACCCAGACAAATTTGTCCCATCACCGCTACAGGACAGCATTTGGTACAGTTTCCGGTGACGTTGAGCCGTGTCGGAAGCAAAAAGTGTAAACATTTGCGCAGCCCCTTAGCGAACAAGTGGTCCTATAGACTTGAAAGCAAAGGTGCATGTAAATTGTTTCTTTTGTAATGTAATTAAATTGGTGCTGCTTCGAAAGGGATCACTGAAGTACGATATTAAAATACACCCATCAAGAGCTGATCGACTACCTTACCACAAGCGCTCATAACCATACACGTAGAGAATGTAGTAATACCTAAGCATTCCAATTGTAAGGTAATATAATAGCATATTATAAATAAGAGCAGATAATTGTGAAAGAGACGAAGCGACTGTGCGGCCAATAGTTCATATGGGTACAAGGGCGGATCCAGCTTTGGCGCCAGGGGGGGTCATATAGTCGTGGTCAAGTCACAGTGGGTACAGATTGTGAAGTGGGTACAGATGGACCCAGCCCAGGGGGGGGGTCATGACCCCCATGACCCCCCCTCTGAATCCGCCCTTGTATGGGTATTGGCTACACCATCGCTTTCTCTATTTTTAGAGAGTTGTCAGTTTCATGCGATGCGTATGTCGCTCAGTGCATTCAAATTCAATATCGTTTATTTGATTTAGGCTGCTACTTAACAGCTTTTATAAAAGTCATTACGCTATCGGTTCTCATATCAACGGCTGGAGACCTTGTACTGAGAAGAACCGGCAAGAAACTTTACAAGGGCTGTTTTTTTTCTCCCTTTACTGTTATTAATTATATACAGAGTCGTAGAGTTAAAAAAACGGACAAGTGCGAGTCTAACTCGTCCACCTTTTATTACGTTAACTTACTGCGTATAAGGCTTAAATTTTAAGTCGATACCTCCACGCGTCCCCGTGATAAAGTGCCTTGACAGACAGATACAGCAAAATATTCCCACGAGGATTACGTTTTTTCGTACATCAAAAATGTACGAAATAAAAATGACTGCAATATGAGAAGGTTCGTGAAGTCACCTTTCATTACATAATTTGGACAATAATTATTCACCAGTAATGACCTGCATTTTAATTGCTGTGTCATGTCATACAGTAAAAATAAATTCTTTATGCTTATAAACATTGCTGTAATCTTATTTCTTTTCTTGGAACTATGATAAATCTGCCTTATTCAGTCGATATAAAGTAACTTTATTATGGAATTAGAAAAAAGGGTCAACCAAATCTTGATAAAGTGCATATGTAGTTAAAGTAAATCTAGATTGGTTACTTGGGAGGTCGCTAGTATGAAGTTCGATAATAGGTATCATTGTAAAATAATTTCTTTTGGATTTTTATTTCTTAGTTCGCTGCTAATAGTTCTTTGTAAATGGAGCTATAATTATGTGCTTATTTAATAATTTGGGTACGCAATCATTGTTTCAACCAAACAAATTTTATTCTTTTTAGAGTTCCGTAGCCAAAGGGTAAAAACGAGGCCCTATTACTAAGACTCCACTGTCCGTCTGTCTGTTTGTCTGTCACTAGGCTATCTCGTGAACTGTGCTTGCTAGACAGTTGGAAATTTCACAGATGGTGTATTTTTGTTGTCGCTATAAGAACAAATATGTGCTGAAAACAGAATAAAATATGGGGCTCCCATACAACAAATGTGATTATCTTTTGCCGTTGTTTGCTCTTTATTAATAACCGCAACAGATCACATATCCACAAAATAAACAATAAAAATTAAATATATCACGGGGGGGGGGGGGGGGGGGGGAATATAACAAACGCGATGTTTTTCCGTTTTTTTCGATATAATAGTGTCCAATGTGTTGGTAATGGTACGGAACCATTCGTGCGCGAGTCCGACTTACACTTGGCTGGATTTTTATCACTTAAGACTTAAGTTTTTGTGGTCGCTC